TCAAATCCCCTCTCAAGTCTAGTCAAGATTTCGAACCCGAACTTGAATATTGGAAAAGGTTTGATTTTCCAAATAGAGTTGAGAATTAAAAACCATTTCAGATTATTGATTAGTGGCTATAGTCTGGTGGTTATTTTAAATTTTTTAGGCTTTAGAAATTTATATTAAAATGAACTTTTGAGAATCCGCAAAAACGCGGACTGGCAAGATGGCGTCGCACCTGTCCCTATGACGTACCATGAAATTCCATAACAGTATTTGGATTAGACATGCAAAACTATACAATTTCTAGTTCGATTCGGCTAACCCTGACGACCGTTCTGGGTCACGTGACTGACGTATACATTTTTGTTAATTATAGATTTGTATTAATTTTCTTTTACGCGATCTTTGTAATAAGATATGAATACAAATATCTAATCTGATGCAGTCGTTCAGAAATTATGAGAATAGATGTCACTAGAGTGTTTTTATTAGTGCTCAGTATGTCATAATCCAATGCAATTTTGACATACGGGAATCATGCTTAGCTCTAACTCGACTCTTGAGGTATAATACATTTAGCGCTAAGTATTTGCGAAATTCTAATTCACTTACTTTTAACAGCAAAAACCATAACATTTTTTTCCAGACAGACTCATGAAAATATAACTGAAAGTAGTTATTAAAGCGATTCACACATATCCGTGAAGCCACAGTTCCGGCACAGTGCGAAGTATTCTTTCATACATTCTTTATGAACACATCCCCACTTGTCAGTGTCAGTGATTTGTGACATTTTGTTTATTGCAGAAGAATATTGAAGCAGCTCTCTGACATTTTAAAATATTCTTCCGCCTTCTGTCTCTCTTAATTACCATGAAAAAAAAATATGTTTATTATGGAACATAAGATACATGTATCACTTATTCCACGTCATTAAATTTGAATTTGTAGGCATCCCTACTCATCGGCAAAGAAGACAGAGGGTGTAGGCCGAGAGAAAAAGCCGGCGTAAAAAACTCTCGGTACTCTTTTAAAATAGCAAATCATCAAACAACACTTATTTTAAATATCGCAAATTAATTAGAAGTAGCCTGTCTAGCACTAGTCCCAGGCCCTTTTATCAACTCGATAATCGTTAACTTTATTATAGTAAACCTTTTTACACAGCTATTCTTTAATACAATTCTTACATTTATTAAAAGTCAGAGATAAAAGAGCCTTTGGGATTTTATTAAAGAAAAGTATCCCTTTTCCCAAAAAATAATTACTAACTTTAGATAGTATAGTACGGGGAAATTGCAGCCTGCGTTAGTTCCGAGTATTAACATTAACATGCTTCATGCACCCATTTTCTTTTTTTCCTTGATGCTGCTCTTTTTCGTTTAAAACAACAGCTATCATAGCTAGCTCCGTAGTATTGAACAGAGCCATAATCACGTTACTTGACGACGGACACGTTTTCACTGAAGATCCGTAAACTGAGTACTGACATGTATGAATTGAATGACTGACGCAATACTGTATCACTGATACTGAACTGAGCGCACACGTTGACGGAACTGTTGCTCTACGGATATGTGTGAATCGGGCTTAACAAGTCAAGTCTTACGTTAAGCTTAATTTAAAGTCGTTATAGACGATTAATTGTAATGAAATTCCAGTTATTGTGAAATGCTGAAGGAAGAAAACGTGCAGTTATCACTTCGCGTGAGTTCTTTAGAATGTGCGCCTGCGTCTTCACAAAGGGTCAACGACTTGGAACAGACTGTTCTTACATTAAGAGGTAATTGAGGGCTTTAGCACACAGGAATTTAACGATACTTTATGATATCTCGCTTTTTGACAGATGGGATTTTGTAATTTTTGACAGCTCAAATGTATATAGATATAAAAATATATAGATTTTTCTATACCAATAATTCAGATTAAAGTATTGCTGAAAAGTACTTCAAACGTGTCAATGATAAATTATTTTGTTTTTCAGGTTTAGTCAGTAAATTACAAGCGGAACAAAAATCATCACACGCCATCTCTAAGCGTCCCGACTCCCGACCCACTAGTGGACGCAACTCTCTGGAAAGAGTAAGAATAAATATCATTTATAGTCAAATTTGTTGTTCTTTTAATATACTAAAGTATAAGGATTTATTTATTATTAGGTTACGTAATAAAATATATGAATAAATCCTAAAAACCCAGCTAAAAGTTCAAAGCATTTGCAGAAAAGTGTGTTCATTGGCTATATTTAAGAATAATTGTTTCTATTTAGGTGTAGTACTATAAAATTAATTAATAAAATAATATGTAAATTACAGAAGATATCAAGATATTAAGATTATTATATTAATTTTTATTTCATACTATTCTTAAAAGACCGGCGCCGCACTCGAGAACCCTCTGGCGTGAGCCTCATGTCTATATTTAGAAAAAAAATGTTTTGATTAAAATATGTAAATCGCAAAATGGTTGCAAAATAATTAATCTTCGCACAATAAAACCAAAGACGAAACGATCACGTCATTTTATTATTTAGGTCAAGATGTTAAAAAATATAACTGATTTTGATTGGTCAAGCGAATCAGTAACGAGATTCTGGCGATCAATCACAATCAAGAAATCTCACCATCGACTCGTCTTTCATTTTCATTATCCATAAAACTTTGTTGGGACGGCATTCTCTGACTAGTAATCACTTCTAAGAATTTCCTTTTTTTTAGAATCGCAACACAAACTCAGACTCTTTAAGAATTGAGATTTCCAATCTGAAACAGATCATTCACGAAAAAGATGTGCTTCTGGAAAAATCAAAGGAAATGCTGAAAATCGCTGCAGACAGGGAGGAAGATTTACTTCAAGAGGTACCGTAAGGTTTAGCCCCTTTTATTAAAATTTAAAAAGTGATACTAATAAGACTACATATACTATATATACTGTTATTCGAATACAGCATAATTTCAAAATTCATATAAATATTTTACGCCGTCAGCGTTTAACAAAATTGAATATACGCACGCGAACTTAAAAGAAAAACGCTACAACCTCTGGGTCTTGGCCTCAGGTTGATTCCTTTTCTTAATAGGTAAGTAGGTGATCAGGCACCTATGCCACAGCCACAGCCGTCGTCTGACCTCAGGTAAGGGAATCCGTCGAATTCTGATCGTTTTTCGATTATAGTATAAATGCATAATATATATGAATATTTTACGTCGTGTACTTTGGCAAGTTTAGAATTATTATTATTATTAAAAACCTTTATTGCTGACACCCAATATAATATATATATTTGTTTTACTGACATAACCTAACTTAATCTAAGACATCAGATGTGCCGGTTTTGGTTAGGCCTCTTAATAGAGAGATAATGCCCAAGTTTAGAATATACGTATACAAATAGCTAGTATGTTTAGGCACTCCGTAGAGTTCTGTGGTGCTATAAGAAAAATACCTAAAAAAATCATTTTATATTAAAATTTTCTGTACAGAATGTGATGTTACGACGACGCTTAGAGCAAGTGACTGACAATCAAGGTGGAGCTTTCTCGGCCTAAATGAAAATACTAATACGAAAAAATTTTAATCTTCTAAGTCATTACTGAAACCCAGTATAGAATTTAAGAAAACTCGTGCAACATCAAAAAAATTAATAAAACATATTTTCAATTAAAATTATTGTTTATTTATATAAACTGTCCATGTCCTAAATGCATAAATACTTAATATCTATGAAGTACTTCATACACAAATAAATACTGTTTGCAACAATAATGTGTACTACAATAAATTGCACATGTCATGTGAACTTAAACAAATAGGAAACTTAATTAATTAAATACAATGAAAATAGTTCATTAAATGCCTTATATAAAAGTTTATTATTTATTTTATCTAATCCAAATTTAAATTAAGAATTTTCTAGCAATAACAAGTGTTTTAATTTGGCCTCTCTTAAGCTACGGTTTCCTAGGAAAGCGGTGCCGTTAACTTACGGTTGTTAATAACGGCCGTCTACACGGTGGCCAAGCTGTTGTTTCCTAGAAAGTAGTGCGACCGTATTTTTGAAGTGTTATTCCAATTTCGTTCCACAAATTTTGCTTCATCTGAGCTGGTCTGTACTCTTTGGATTTGATATTGAACAAAGCTTCATGATTTTTGACAATATCAATTAATTGTTCATTATTTTCGCTCGTCCAAGTTATTGTATTAATTAAATATGCGCACCGCTTCACGCGAAAAACGTTGAACTACTGTTTATCACCGCTATGACGGCCGACGACGACATACACATATTATTTATAGACAACGTATGGGTGACGTCACCCATCGTTACATTACGGCCGTTAGATAAAGCTTAGGTTTCCTAGAAAAGCGGTGCCGTTATCATACGGCCGTAATGTAACGATGGGTGACGTCACCCATACGTTGTCTATAAATAACATCGGAGTAGGTTTTCTAGAGAACGTTGAGTGTCACCGTAACGTCAAATAGCGGTGCTGTCATTTGCATGACGGCCGTCATAGCGGTGACAAACATTAGTTCAACGTTTTTCGCGTGTAGCGGTGCCCATATTTAATTAATACAATGAGTGGAAACGTGACTTGGACGAGCGAAAATGATTGATTTTTTTGCATTATGTTAAAAAGTAAAGACGGCCGTTATTAACAACTGTAAAATTGCCGGCCGTTAGTTAACGGCACCGCTTTTCTAGGAAACCGTAGCTTTAGTGCCCTCGAAGAGACTCGGCTAAATTGTGACCAAAGCATATGTTAAAAGCCAGATAGAATACTGGGCACAAAAGTAAAAAAATAAATAGATATATAGCTATAAATAGGAATTTAGGACAAACGTGTAAGTTAGCATCACTCGGTTTACTTGCATTTAAGTACTTATCATTGTCACAATACTGTCCTTCACAGCCATTTTGTGTTACTTAGCAACACAATACACGATCAGATCATAAAATTCTTACAAAATCTATTTAAAACGTCATTGTTTTAAAAATAAAAATTACATTCTTACTATTTATATTCGGCGTTGATAAGGTGTACCTGTAAATAAATTTATTGTGAAATATTACTCATTTTGCTTATCAATGTTATGTTTTTTATCCGTAGGTCTTGGATTCGATTCCCAGCAAAGCTTTTTTATATCTTTTATATTTTAGAAAAAATCGCTCTTACTCTACTTGTTTCACACGAATTTATTAAAAAAATATAATTATCTAGTAGCGCAATTATCCTTTATTTGCCTGGTATCAGATTGCATTTTTACAAAAAAAAATTATTGAACTTTTTTTCAATAAATAAATGTGCTAATAAAATATATTTTTACCTCAACGCTCTGGCCTTCTTGGTATTTACGCCTTAACCACTTAGCTAGTGGTGGAGTAAAGAGCTTTGGATCAGGATGGCGCTTTCCTGCTCGATGCCACGGTTGAGGTTGACGCGATGCCAGCGATATTATAGAACCCACTACGAGCACCCATACGAAGCCAATCTGAAACCAAAAGTTCACCCTTTACACAATACTTAAATGCATTTAACTTAGCGAGCGTGTTGACATTTCATCTGGGACTACTAAATAGACCAACCCGCCCTCGAACCTTTAGGCCAACAGCGAGATTCCTTAAAAAAAACACATTGATTATTTGTTAGCTAAATAATTTTGAGAAGATTTTTGTGGGATAAAGTTCGCTTTTATGTAAGTATCTATATATTAACGTAAGTAGGTACTTACTTGTTAATAAAGATTATGATAATTCTCCCATATGTTAGAAATTAATTAAGATACGGAAATCAAACGTAGGCCTAAGTTCTGGCTGTGAATCTTACGCTAAGTTGCAAAACATTTGTAAGTTGGTTTTTATATGAACAACTTACTTAAGTTAGAATTTCGTATGGCTTAAGAGTAGGTAAAATCTAAATAGAAATATTCTCATATCTAAATGCAATTTGGCACTGGATTTTTTCTAATACTTAAAAAAAAACTCACCGGACTTGACCACATGTATGAGATCCTATACAAGTAGAAGTATTCACTTGGGTCGACAGTGGGTGTTGGTGTGAGTGTCACATTTCCCGGACAATTACCCACACTAAGAGGTAATTTTACAAGCGGAGGTCGCGGCCCGCCAAAATTCATCAATAGAGTGAGAGACATGCCACTAAGTAGAGATAGCGATACACCCTAAAAAATACATTTGTATGCTTTATTTACTTTTTATTAATTTAGACATTAGACAAATAATTTTAGCTATAGGAGTAATTCGAGATTATTTAAAAAATTTATGAGAATGGAGGACAAACATAAAAAAGCAAGAAAAAATTAATTGTGTTTATGTATTTCACTGATTAAATTATTAATACGCTGAGAATTGAAGACTGGCTATTCAAAGTGAGATTATAAAAATGTTTAATCTAAATTAAAAATAACCAACCTTTCTGAAAATTCGTTAAAAGTTAAATATCTTTATTTATAGCTATAATAACTTTGGAAATTTTAATGTATTGCTTTTAAAAGTTCATTCATCGTAATGTCATTACTAACTTATCAAAACAGGTATGAAAAATATATTTTTTTGTCCAGTACTAAGTCCCCTACTCAAGCCCCTTACCATCTCCGTAGCATACGTAGTAAACATTCCAAGAGTAAAAACGCCGAACAATGGTCCACCAACAGCACTGAATATCGTTAACGCGGCTTGGAGAACGCCTCCCAAATACTCAGCTAAAAAGGCTAGAGCCAGAAACATCAAGCCATATCCACACGCCGCGATTTTAGTCAGCCACGGTATGTACAAGTCATTAATTTTGCACCATCTGAAAAGTTAAAAATAAATAAATCAATGGCGCTACAACCTTTTTAGGTCTGGGCCTCAGATTTCTGTATCTGTTTCATGATCATTTGTTAATCTAATAGGCAAGTAGGTGTTCAGGCTTCTGTGCCTGACGCACGCCGTCGACTTATTGGGTCTAAGGCAAGCCGGTTTCCTCACGATGTTTTCCTTCACCGTTCGAGCACATAGAAGGTCCATTGGTCCAGCCGGGGATCTGAAGCCACTTGGCCAACACTTCTCATCTGAAAAGTATCTTAATTAAAACTGGAGTGAAGCATACAATTCATACTACGCAATTTGAAGTTTGCGATATTAACAGCAAAAACAACATCGAATTTTGATTGTTAGATGATGTCGTTAGCTACCTACTTAGCTAGTACCGATAATACATAATTGACTAAAGCAACACTGTTATTAACGCAAACATAATTTAGAAGAGAAGAGCCTAGAAGGGCCCTAGACAAAGATATACAAACGAATGGAGAAAGAAAGCAATGGATAAAGAGATTTGGAAAAAGTTTGAGAAGGCCTTTACCCGAGAAGAAGTTCCGATCTCAAGGAAGTTACGAGTAATAAGTAAAATATAATAGCTAAATATAAATTATAAACAATTGATTGGAACTTAACAGGCCTTTTAAATTTAGTTACACTGAGAAACCTCGTTTGATAGTTTTTTAAAGGAAATAACATTAAAGAATTTTTTCCAATTTTAAAATAATAGAGTTCTCAGACCTAGTCTGTGACGAGAACCGCGCGCTTTTTTGGGAAAGTGGCATAGGAAAGCGGTCCATAGCTTACGTATGCAACTGGTCAATAAAAATTATCCTATATTAGTATTGTCTGTTTCAATCTAACATCTACTAAAGTAAAATTGTGAAAATGTTCATCAAACAGGTGTAAATAGAAACTTCCACATAGATCTATTATACATACATCTAAAACATAATTTATAGGTAAATTAGACTTCTTCAAAATATTTTCCCGTAATTATTAAGGAAAATCACAAATTCATCCTTGTTTTTATTGTGGATATATCTATAGGGTGTCTCAGTAAGAGTGCACTTTTTAAAATTGTAATATTTTTGTTTTCCTGCAAGTGACGACTCTGAAATTTGACAGGTGTCACCTCTGTTTATTCCGATTATTAAAAATGGTGCGCTTTTTGAAAGAACAACAAGTTATAATTGTGAAAACTCATTACAAAAGTAACGATGAAAACGCTCGCAAACTTCACCAAATTTTCAGCCGAGAAAGTGCACCTAATGTGTCAACCATTCGAAGAGCGGTCAAGAAATTTTAAGAAACTGGGTTAATTATGGATAATAAGAATCTTTTGCGTCAACGTACCGGTCTGTCCCTTGAAAACATTGCTGCTGACTGCTGTAAACGAGAGTGTCGCCGAATACCCGAAAACATCAATTCGACGCAGCAAATTATGACTAAAGACCTTCATGCGTACAAGATTCACTTAACTCAGAAGCTCAAACCAGCAGACCAAGGAAAGCACCGGCAATTTGCTCAATGAGTAATGGAGCGAAGGGAAGTCGATGCCAATTTTTCGAAAAAAGTCATTTTCTCCGATGAACAGAACACATTATCTCACGAAATTCTGATGTCAACTGGATCACCGGACCTGGACCACCAAGATCGTGCGATTTAACGCCGTGCGATTTTTTGTTTGGGGTTTTGTGAAATCCCGAAACCATTCCTGAGCTCAAATCGGAAATCCAACGCGTCATCGGTGAGATACAGCCACATCTCTGTGCAAAAGTCATGGAAAATTTCAAGAAAAGTGTAATGGCCTGTCATCGGAGCCGTGGAGGTTATTTGCCGGACATTTTATTCCATACTTGATCGGAACATGTCTTCTTTACAATGCAATAAAAATATCAGAACTCTGTCATAAAATACTTGTCTTTATTTAAAAATGAAAAAGTGCACTCTTACTGAGACACCCTATATAAGGAAACTCTATTATAGCTTCTAGCATGCCTACATTGTATTTGTGACGACATTTATACAGCCAAAACGTAAAGTATTTTGTTGACTATAATGTAGACCAATCATGTTTAAAAGGAATGTGTAAATTTGCGGTAATTTTAGTTTCCTACAAAGAAGTTGGCGACAGATAGAAGTAGTTTTTTAGAGGTTTTGTTTTGCGTCCGATTTTTATTACAACTGAAACAATGTTAAATATTATTGTAAGTTTAGGTATCAGTTTCTGTCAGCTGTAGAATATTCTAGCAACATAGCTCAAAATGTCAAGCTTAAAAGGAAGTAGTAGGTAATTCAAGATATTCTGTTTCAAAGGATTAAACTATACCTGCTGACGTAGTCTGTGAGAGTAACAGCAGCCAAGGCGTTGCAAGAGGCCGAAATCGTGGAAAGAGAAGCGCTGAAGATTCCCGCCACGAAAAGTCCTGCCAGACCTGGCACTAAACGCATCGCATCTACCACGTAGTACGGCATCAGCTGGTCTATCTGTTGGAAATAATTTTCATAAATAAAAGACACAACAGTTAATTTCTATTCAGGCTGACGTAGAAGTATATTATGGACCCAGGTACACTATTTTCCATAGCTATCCAGGCCTGATGGCAATGTGTCCAATACGACTAGGGTCGCAGAATCAACAGCCTCAAAGCCTCATCAGAGGCGCGCGAAATTTCCAACCAAAACCATCTTGGAATACTTGACATACACTACATAGGGAAAGAATCAGAGTCGAGACTTATACAAACCGTATGTCAAAAACGTAATACAGGGTCATTGATATACAAAAAACCCAAGATGCACAATCAACGTCTAAAAAACGTCCTCAAAAAATGAGCGCAACATTCTAAATTGTGCGCTCATTTCAAATAGTCTCGCGTCGCTCGCGTCTGGGAGCAGTTGTCAAAAATGTCAAAGTGTTCTATGAGAAATTGTAAAAATATTACGTCAAGAAGGCTAAAAAAGGATGGGATATCGTATTTTCGGTAAGTAAAAAACTTTATTGATTAGTTTTTGTTGTTTTTATGACTGATTATAACAAGCAATGTGTGATTTTTATTTATTTTTTCTAAAAACTTCATTCAACGCACAAACTTCTATACGGCCAACTTCAATGGCTGCTTGTTCAGTGTTAGAACAACGCATTACAGTCTTCTTTTTATTTTAGTCGCATTATAAAAATGACCCTGTTCTAATAAGTGGAGTCGAGTTTTTTTTATAAATAAATTTATGTACTTTTGAACTTTTTTTTGTGTGTAGTTTTTGACAAATATATTTACGCTATATAAAGTGTAGGTCAGGAGGTAGCCAATTTAACATTTTTTTTTAATTTAAAGAAAAAACTTTTTAACCGGATTAAAGTTATGTATTATTATAAGTTTACAACTATTTAACATCCAACACCTTTTGTCTTCAGTCACCGTGACCACGCACGCTGTAAAGCACGCGAAACGTGGGATAAATTTAAAATTATGTTAAATAGTTGTAAATAAAAAAAGTCATGTTCGACTCCACTCAATACCTTGTCCTACCGACCACGGTCGGTCGTTAAATTTTATTGCTTTAAGTACACTGCGTTGTAATCACAACCTTAAACAATTCGCGTAAGGTTGATTTTGCAATAATATATGCTTGTAACTTATAGAAAGAGACAGAAATAGTGTTTCGGGACACTTTCGAGCGTTACTTTTATTCGAGACTGTGCATCTTGGGTTTTTTGTATATCAATGTACAGGGTCTATGTACATTCAAATACAGTCAAAATACATAAGTTCATAGACCCTGCCGAAGTCGTTTTATATTTTATCTGGACGTTTATAAGCCCTTAATGGAACAAAACGTACCATAGAATCATAAAGTTATTTACTATTGTTTTAGAAGATATTTTTTTATGAATAGATTTGTATTTACACAAATTAAATAACTCATTTGTGCTTCTGTCCAAATTTTCAACTCTTTTCCGCACATTGTAAATGAATGACGACCCATAATGAAGTTATACTTACAGCTGCGATATATCCAGCAGCATACGGATCACAATCCTTGTACACCGCATATATCGCGAGTCCGCTCATACAAGTCACTATACTTAGGATAGACAATACAGGCAAACTCCACCACATACATTGCTGGGAACGGGCCAATGTACTAACCGTTAACAGACGTTGAATCTGAAATGAATAAGTCAGTAGTTTTCAAAACAATACGATGTCTAATTCAATAAAACTTAAATGTTGTCATAGTCAGAATTATGATTCTAAACTTCGCTGCTATATAACATATTATATCATATAGTATCATAATACAAACTCAACTGGTGCAGGTGTTCTGTAACTTCCAATAACGAAGTTTGTTCAAAATTTATATATAAGTAGTTATTTTAATATCCGTAACATTTATGTCGCTATTTAGAGATAGCGCGATAAACTCGGGGAAAAGATCGCCAGGTATTTATTTTATTATATATGAGCGAAGTTTGTGTAAAAATGTTTTACTTGAAGTTAACATTATCAACAGAAAAAACCTGTCAATTAATGTACTTACTTTATTTAGATGCAATTTCGGTTTTTATGAAGGCCTTTTTAATGCTATTTTAAGTTTGTATAATAACTTGTGCCCTAGATATAATATCATTAGGTAAGACTTAATATTTTAAATACTTTATTATCCGAATAAAATGCTTTTTTCTTATTATTATTCTTAGGATGACTAATATTCTATCACTGGCTATGAGTGGAAACTTAGTGAAGTGAATTACGCAGTTGTAGATGAGAAAGACGCAAAATTCTTTACTATAACAAAATTTAAAGTTTGTTTGTTGATAATTTAATGTGGCCGTTATTTTCCGCAAAAAACACAAAGTTCCGATTCTACAAATAAATATACTCACTTGCGTATGATTAACAGCATATAAAGATAGATACATAATAAAACCACCAATGATGAGGGACCACCATGTATGCCGTTCTGTCGGGTCCAAGCTTACACTGAAAAGTATTAATTAATTAAATTAGTTTTCACTAATTATAATGCCTATAAGTATAATTATACTTTATAATCATATAACTACGTTGCATTAGTAATGATTTCTAAAATTTGCAACGTAAATAGATTTTATTCGAACAACTAATATTTTGTAGTGCAATGTGTAAGTGAATGCTTACAGAAACGCTGATAAATTTTGAGATGACCTTGACGTAATATCAGAGTAGGAAAGTAATAAATAACTGAGATTATAAATAAGGAGTAGTTTTTACTTTTAATCAAATGTTACTCACTGTGAAAAATCCAAACGCCCCCCTTCTTTAGCTACTGCAAATATATTTCCCAAACCTCCAACTTGTATGGATGCAAATATTAACACGCTGACCACAGATGCAAACATCAGAAACGATTGCAGCAAATCCGTAAAGAGAACAGCCTTCATACCTCCTATGGTCGAATAAAACGTGCATACAAGTCCCACCACTAGTATTGAGATTACTCTATTCAGACCCGTCACTGACTCTAGAACTATCGCTGGGGCATACAACACAATTCCATTATAAAGTATCATCTGAAGTGTGTACGTTAAAGACGCCAACGTGCGTATACGCGGTCCAAATCTTAATTCCAAATATTCATAAGTACTTGTCTTCTGCAGGCCGAAAAACACCGGCAAATAATATCTAGAAGCTATCGGAGTCGCCAAAAAGTAAGATATGTTTATAACAACAAATTGCATGCCATTATAGTAATTTTCAGACGATATCCCTAATATGGTAATGGCTGATACAAATGATGCCATCAATGATACAGCGACTGGAAATATTGACATATTACGATTGGCCATGAGGTATTCCTGAAACAATTATTCTGTGTTAGTTATTCAGTAATAGTTACGTTGTTTAACCTTTTAACTTGCTAGACAATGCCTTATTGTGACATGATTTTTTTTGACATGTAATCCACGTGCAAATCTAATATACTCTATGGATTCTTTTAAAAAAATCACTGACGTTACAGGATTGCAGAGGACACACAGAAGTTGGTAATATTTTGGTGGATTACAGCCTATACACATAGCCAGCCTAGCCTATACACATAGGCACTTACGCGTAGTAACTAAGGGTAACATTGAGATTATAACTATCTATAACATAGAACTGCCTACCTCGTTTGTCTTCTGCTTCCCTCCACTAAATCTAAAATATATACCAATGCCGATGGACGTGATCATAGTCAATGTCATAATGACAAAGTCCCAAGGCCCAAACACCATTCGCGTCATCTTATCTAAAATATACAAAATTATTAATAAAAATAACGTAATAATTAAAAATACGTAATTCAATGCAATATTATTCTTTGTAAATTTCTAAATACAAATTCAAGAATCATGTTTATAACTGGACAGACTTTTGGTAGAATTGTGACCAGCGTTACTTTGATTAATACCATTTCGTTGCACCCAAATCAAAACCTATGAAACATGACTATTTAATCACACAGTGCATATGCAGAACAATTGTGGTGCCTACATCATCATTCCATACATATAAATCCCGTATCGCGTTCACTCGAACAAAATAATAATATTCACCTTAGAATAATTAGGTACTAATTTTAACCATATTTTTCTTTTACTGGAATTGCCGCTTTTGTGTTTTGACTTTTTAATTCCACTTTTCGACGAAGACAATTTAGGATTAGAATATATATATGTTATTCGGGAAAGGAAATCAAAAATTAATCTATGGAATGGACCTATTATTAATTTTTGTTAACCTTAATATATGGCAAGTACTTACCTTATTTTTATTTAATTATCTATTCCGAATGGTTTGTAATTTTAAAGTCCTTCACGTTCAAACCAGTACAATTTTCTTGGAAATCCGTCCTAGTGGACTTTGTGCTTCTTATCGTATTTGGGTTCGTCAATTTCAAAGGTTGAAGTCATTATTTAAAATAATTTCAACTAAAAGAAAGATAACATTTAAAGAAATATATTTTTTATAGCTGTTGATTTCGACCGAACATACTTAACTCATAAGATCACATTCACATGTTTGATAACAATCGTCTTTCGAAAGAACGGAACAAAATATAAGCAAATAACAGTATTGTCTTTGTTCTAACGGGTTGATTTTATTTTTGGTGTATTTATAGTACCGAGTGTTTAGTTTAAACATTTTTCACAGTGTATAAGCATAATTAACGGTACGCACACGAAAACAAACGGTAAAAGAACCATTGCCGCAATGTTCAAGAATACATGGGTCACCTCCATATTATCGCTTTCCATTTATATAAACTCCTTATAAAAAATATGTGTGTGGTAAAAAAATATGTATGATTCATAAAAGAGATTCATATGTACAGAGTCAGGCTTAAATGTACATTACAAGTAGTTAATATACACTACGTATGTTCTATGAGTAATTGTTACCAATCAACTGTAATAAAAAGTTACAATTAATGTAATTTTTACAGCAATATTTTATAACGAAATCTTATGAGCATAAATATATTTAAAACTTCGCGCCATATTCAATATCATTATATACTTTCATAAATATAAACATGAATAAAATGTTGTAAAGTAAGAAACATTATTTAATTATTAATTTGTTATTTATCTAGGAAATAATAAAAAAAATATTAATTCTTACTTATTTCAGGGGTTTCATAAACTTCGACGGCTGCTTGTCACATAAGACAGCTGACTGATCAAAGGTTAAGAATCTGTAGTCAATCGTTCGTTCCACGTTGGTTTAACGTTAGTCTAGCTGTTCATAGTTGTGCAATATTTTATACAGAAATATTAACTAATATAACTGTAACCACACTTTATTATACAAATTGACAGTTATATAATTACTGTTAATAAATTTATTTTATTTCAAATTAATTTGCACGGAACACGTCCAATCTATTGATTATGTCGTGTGCGAAGTGTGAACTGCGAAACAAGCGGCCATTCCCCGACTCCCCGTCACTCGACATCGTACGATACGTTTTTTAGGTTATGCAGACGCCCGCCGCCCGGTGTTGTATAATAAGTAGGTACACTAACCTTGTAGTAATTTCGACTCGAATACTATATTTTACAGATTACGTAGGGTTATGTAATATGGGAATTTCATTAATTTTAATCTCTTAGGCGGGTTTGACAAATTAAAAATAAAACCAACAAATATTATAAATAAATTGTATTGTCACAAATTAATAGTACATTTAAAAATAGCTTTTAAGTAGTGCCAACTTACCAGCTATCACAAAAAATCAGCAATAACGCTGTAATAATAAATTAAGTATGTATTACACATTTCCATTAAGATAACTCAATAGCTACATGGAACACAAACCTATTAAATATTGGAGTAAATTATATGCAAGAATACTTAATAAACATCAGAAATAATTACACAAAGAATATTGTAAGAATTATTGTCTTTGAATATTATAATGTTTATACAATAAATAGATACAAAATAGTATTTAATTTCGTGTGTCAAATAATAATTTTTGTAACATTTTTTAAATTCGTATAGCAATAATCTGATAGCTGTATTTTTTTACATTTACCTACACAACACATTTCAACATAGGAACTAAAAACCACCAAATATTTAAGTAGCGTTTATATAATATGTGCATTTGACCTACATTTGAAATATTAATATAAATACATTTTAAATTTCTTGATGACTTCGACTTCTTATATAACATCATTCAAAAACTCAATACCTATTACATGTTTCACTAAAAATAGTTCAGTATATTTTATGGCAATACTTATAGTTTTACAGTTAAAAAATCAAACGTAGGTTCAATCACCGCTCAATGGTCACGAACCTATGAACTTGACCTTGTGCTATTAGTCGGCGAGCGTATTTTAAATATTATGAGTTCTAGGAATGGAATGGTGATTAAATAAAAGTCATGTGTAGAATGGAAAAGAAAGTCAGTACTTATAACAAATTTGATTTATCAATTACATTGATATCAAAAAAATATTAAAAAGTTTTAATTCACAACTAATCCTTTTAACAAATTAACGACATTGGGTCGACCTCACGAGAATAACAGGATAAGTTATTATACATTTTATTACTGTGTAAACTTACATAAAGTAGCCAACGTGACTGAGTATATGCTTAGCACTAGCTCTGATATCTAGACATTGTAATGTAAAGTCCATGGAGATATGTTTTACACAACATTTTCCTCACATTAAGGAAGCACAAATTGAAGCTTAAGGCACACACTTGTGTCTGTATATTTAATTATACAACTCGTAAATCTAAAATAAAATTTCACTAATTTCCACACACCTCAATTTTTTAAGTACACTACAAATTCACCTACTTATACATAAAAACTAAATCAATCTAAAACACTGATTTACCTAAAGCACTTATTTAAAGTACACGTTGTTCCTTAAGTAAAAAATATTTCTGACCATTTGGTTTGTTTTAGAAGACTAATCAGTGTTAGTTAGTACAGTGTGATAAATTTGATTCAGTTTTTCCTAGCCAGGAGCGCCATATACCGGATTAAATATTTAATCTTTTATATTTAAGGGCGCAAAAACAAAAATCGTTACAAACGTTCGTATGTATAATATAAATAAAAAATATATTTTTCTGTATTCACTTATCTATTATATAAGTAAAGGCAGTGTTTAACTTAAACTTTCCATAAAATACTGCAACTTTGCCTGTTTCGACGGTTCTAGAATTGCTTTTCGATTTATCTATTTAGATCAATCGTATATCTTTTTGTCTTAATTAATACATTAGAAGAAAAGATATGTTAATTGCAGTCACCGTCTTGATTCAATAATTCACACTGTAAAATAAATATATATTTCGTAAAAAGAATAGATTTGCTTAACTAAATATAATAGATTTGAATACTAGGTAATCATGAATCTATAAAGTCTTACATTAAATTAAAATTTGTTCAGTAGTTGAAGGTTAAATATAAATTTTTTGAATGCCTTTTGGATTATTTGAACATCAATAACTTATTAAATAATCAATTTATATATATTAGTCCTACAAATACCCGTAAAGGACGTAATCAAATTTAAAAAATCTATTAATCGTAAGGGTAAGCCTCAGATTCAGAGTCGAGTCTAAGCGCGCCTTACAACGAAGTGTGACCCGTTTGTCAAAAATGTTTACGCTAACGGCCTGGCCACGGGGATCAGCGGTGCGAACGGCGATGCGGGAGGCGAGGCGACCATTCGCGCGGGGCCGTTTGCAGGCCACGGACCAGTCACGTTTGCCGCCGCGACCAGTAAGGAAGTTCGACAGCGAAATGTCTTTATCGAAATCATCTCGATATTGCTTGGAAAGTAATAGCTTTTGGTTCAAGACCTAATATTTGGAGAAATTGTGGAGAATTCCACAAGAAGTATGACAAATTCAGAATATATCCAGAATTATTTTTTTGAGTATACCAGAATGAGTATTGAAACCTTCAATTATATTCTTATGAATATTCAACCAGAATTGGAGAAAAAAGTTAATGCAAATAGAATTTTAAGTGCCGCTGAAAAATTGTTTTTGAGATTAAGGTATATTAAATTAATGCTGTGGATGGCCAGACTTCCAAATAGCTGGTCTAGCCAGTATTTCAGTAACAAAAAACTCTGTATTCATTTTTCGCCGCGACCACGACTAAACTTATTTATTCCCTTCTCTATTCGCCGCGACTGCCGCTCGACTCCGTGGCTTGCACCGTACTGATTCATGTATTTGTTTCGCTCGCCCGTCGCGACGTCAGTCGCCCGCGCGATTCGCTCGGTACATTTCGCCGGTCGCATCGCTGGTATTTCTCGGAATCACCATGGATTTAAAACTTCAGTGGTCCCCTCATATTAACGGATTGGCGAAGAGACTTGGTTCTGCAGCCTACGCGGTTAAAAAAATTCGCTCACTAACTGATGTCGATACAGCTAGACTTGTTTATTTTAATTACTTTCATAGGTTAATGACTTATGGCTTATTATTATGGGGTCATGCTGCTGATGTCGAAACTATTTTCATCCTGCAGAAGAGGGCTATTCGTGCAATCTATAATTTAAAATGTAGGGAATCTCTTAGAGATAAATTCAAGGAAATTAATATACTTACCTTTCCCTCGCAATGTATTTATGAAAATATTATGTATGTATACAAAAATAGTGATAAGTTTACTAGAATAGAACATACGCACAATGTTAATACACGGAACAAACGCAGGCTGCACGCCGTTGCGCGTGGCTTGATTAGTACATTGCTATAAGTTTATTTCAGTCGCTAGACGCATCGCCGTTCGCACCGCGCGAATATTCGCGTCGGCGAATGTCCCGTGGCCAGGCTGTGAGTCTCGACTCTGAATCTTACCCTTAGTAAAGCATTTGTTTTCCAAGCCCACGACAATCTGTTTTCCCGAATAATCGACGTAAAAAATCGAAATAGTTTACCTTGTCTAAATCCCTTGGTCAGAAATTCCTTGATTATAATACCACACCAGTGCCAATCTAGAAAATAAACTATTCAAGCGTGCGCATTTATAAAACTACCAGCCAACTGTTATATCGCACGTAACTTGGAAAGATTCGTTGGTAACGTAAGTTCATAGTTGTTTTTTCGGTCAGTGTTCTAAACGGATAATCAGACTTTTTGGTGTAATTATCGAATGTCAACGCTTGTCAATTTTTTTTTTTAATAGTTTAAAGTGTGCATGACTACACCTTGGAACAGGTTTCTAAACATGGGCCTTAAAACAAAAGTTGCAACGACTCTTGCCAAATTACGTGCTGCAAGCAAAGATCCATTAAGCATAAGATATAGCCATCATTTTGCATCAGATTTGCCTATCTAGAGATGATGGCTTTAAGTAAAAAAATAAAATTCCAGTCTTATTAAGTTGTAGTATAGTTGTATAGATATGTTTTTGGATTTTAGTACCATGACATTTAAATTAAAGTTCTTTACCAGGTACAAACAGAAAAAGGACAAAAAGGGAGGTAACCCTAAGGAAGCCGGTTTTAAAGTATTGAACATTAGGTTAGTAATATTCAGTTTGTCTTGGCTGATAAATATACATATTAGCAATGAATTGTTATTTAATATATTGCGAAAATGCACAATTAAAAAATATTTAAACTTTGGTTAAACGGCAACCAATCGAAACTTGCCTTCTTAATTCTGCCACTGTTCGCATTAAATCGTTGTGATAGTATTAAATTAAATGTTGTTTTTGTAATAAAATAGTAACAGTAATTATTAAAACTAATTAATTTATTAAAAATTATCCAGTGACCTTTTGAGATTGTAGCTCCTAAACATAACATAGTATACCTACAAGCCCATGAACAAAAAATACCTGTGAAATGACCCAACCTGAATTACGCTTAGAAGGCTGTTACTATATCTGAAAATAGCTCTGAGCACTATGCCGTCATTTCTGAGCGGTACATGTGAGTACGTGAGTGAATGGACTTTCTCATGTACAATGGGGGAATTTCGACTAATTATTAATGTACGGCTTTGTTATAAGTGTATAGATGATTAAAAATAAATGTCGAAAAACCTAGTGCCGTACAAAAGTGATGGTGCCGGAAGTCGGTGCAAATTTTTAATTCGACGACAGTTGCAGGAGCATTATAGGTCATTTATTACTGTACGGCATTTGTGTCATTCCTTTTGGACACATATACAGATACTTTACCCGTAAACGCCGTACATATTTCCAGCGGAGCGGTCGAAAGCCAAGGGTCGGAACCCTACCCCTACACCCATATACCCTAAGGTCATTGTAAAATGTACGGCAACATGTTCAAAATATTATTTAACACGGACAATAATGTTTTATAATTATGCCGTCCAAATATTATAGTTAATATTTGTGTAATTAAATATTTATCGAAATTTCAGGATTTACCAAGTTCTTACTGCTGTAAGATCAGAGAATAATGTACGGCAACTTGTTTTTTTACATAATGTTACTTAATATTTATATTACCGTTGTACATTATAGCCGTTCATTATAAATGGTTACAAATAAAAATATTATGATAAAAAATATATGAAATTTCCGAAATTTAGATGACTTTTCAAATGCTCCTAGAGTAATATGGGGAGTAATATTTTCAAAGATTATTGTTATTTTATATGTAACAAATATAAATAAACAAAAAAAACCAGATGCCGTACATTTTACTCCAGATTATTCTTTACAGCTGATAAAAACTTCGACGACGTTTGAGGTGTCCCTTAAGGTCATTAATAACTGTACATATCGGAGTATACTACCATAAGGCTGTAAAGTATATTTACAGCCTTATCGTACCAGCAGAGAGAGGTAAAGGAAAAATATTTTTAACAAAAATATATATAATACAGGGCGTCCCAAAGTTATGAGACATGAAGGGAAAGTACCTTAAATATCGCAGATAGGGTATTTTACTAAAAGAAGACTTTATGTTATTTATAAAAGTTAGTAATTCTGCATTCAAAGATTTTTTTTAAAACTACTTGCCTCGTCTGGAAATCGAACCGGCTTAAATTAAAAAAAACACACCCTACTTTTATGATGCCAATCGAAAGAATGGCCAAAACCTAATAACTTTTCTAAAGTAACAGACTCATAGGGGATTTTTTTAGGCCGAATACGATAGATAATGTTTTTAATTTGATTAAAAAGATATATTCACGCTGTTCCTTTCTTTTAAAATACTATGTTACTTAAGAAGAGTTATTAGTTTTTGGCCATTCTTTCGATTGGCATCATAAAAGTAGGGGTGTTTTTTTTACATTTAAGTCAGTTCGATTCCCAGACGAGGCAAGTAATTTTTTAAAAATCTTTGAATGCAGAATTAATAACTTTTAAAAATAACATAAAGTCTTCTTTTAGTAAAATACCCTATCTACGATATTTAAGGTACTTTCCCTTCATTTCCCATAACTTTGGGACGCCCTGTATTGGTAGGCGGTGGTAGCGGACTATCGAAAGTGTACGGCATTTATCTTTTATTGAAGATTGTCTAAAGTATTAATAACCTGTGTTATTGCCGTACAGATAAAAGTCACCGGAAAATGACTCTTTTCTGAGAAAAGTAATTTGCCCCATACACCTATGTGTTCCACAAAAATGTACGGCATGCTGGAAAATGTTATCTATTTGTGAAGTACTCTCAAGATCATTTAATTTTATGTTGATTCATATCATCATCACCTATATGCTAATCAGACATATGTTGCGACCCTTGGCTTTCGACCGCTCCGCTGGGAATATGTACGGCGTTTACGGGTAAAGTATCTGTATATGTGTCCAAAAGGAATGACACAAATGCCGTACAGTAATAAATGACCTATATTGCTCCTGCAACTGTCGTCGAATTAAAAATTTGCACCGACTTCCGGCACCATCACTTTTGTACGGCACTAGGTTTTTCGACATTTATTTTTAATCATCTATACACTTATAACAAAGCCGTACATTAATAATTAGTCGAAATTCCCCCATTGTACATGAGAAAGTCCATTCACTCACGTACTCACATGTACCGCTCAGAAATGACGGCATAGTGCTCAGAGCTATTTTCAGATATAGTAACAGCCTTCTAAGCGTAATTCACGTTGGGTCATTTCACAGGTATTTTTTGTTCATGGGCTTGTGGTCTAATAGTATACCTACAATTTCTCCTTTTAATTTACATCCCTAGAAATGTATAGGTCAAATAAAAGTTTATGAAGCTAAAATACTTCATAAATTCCTTCTTCAAGGAAAATCTTCACTATCTATAATGTAGATTAAGTTGATAATACTTTAGACGGAGTAAAAATTTACAAGTAAATGAATTTTTTTTTTTAAATCTATCAAGTCTTGTAATTTGAGCGATTCATCATCAAGCAATAAAAATTTGCTTACAAGTTTTAATTTTTCAAACATTGTTCAAACTTCGTACGTAACATTTATGTTTTTTTAGTTTTATGGAATTTACTTATTTAAATTATTTGATGAACTAAATAATTATTAAATGACGATCTACGATGACGTCATTCACCCAAAACGCGTAAATAAAATTATTCCGGCCGCTTACGATACATACAACTTCTCAAACATAGCAACTTGGCCCTTCTGGCGGCCCAGTCAGTGGTACGACTGATCCAGGACCTCCCTTTAGGCCAGAGGAAGCGAAAAACATCATTTCTCCACAACCATTCTTATATATAATGTTAACACTAAAAATATATTATATTATTTAATACTTAGGACAATATTGTAACACGATACTAACAAAGTAGACTTCTGATTATTTGATTTAATAAATAAATTATTATACATTTAGTGGTCACACCATTAGCGGGACTCGGGGAACAATGGGGTCTACTTAAAATGCATACAATTTAAATTATATTATAGCACTCTTTAGTCGTCATGGTAGGGAATGATGTTTGTAATTGAATACTCGTGAGACTTTTTAATATTCTTGGGACATTTTAATTCAAATCTTAATATTTTTTTAGGTTAAATATAATAGAGAGCAATATATATTAGAAGTTGAAAAGCAGATAGGTTGAGCAATATTGCTATTGTCCCCAAATAAAATAATGATAAAATTACCAAACAAATCATAAGAAATCCCGCTTTAACAAGGTTAATTAAAATAGCACCTCATAGCACCCACTTTACTCTACCTGTACCTCTTCTTTAATTTGATATTTCCTCCTCAGCCAGTTGGCGAGTGGAGGAGTGAAGAGTTTAGGATCAGGATGGCGTTTTCCCGCTCGCATCCATGGCTGAGGCTGACGCCAGACCAGCGATATTATAGAACCCACTATGAAGACCCATACAAATCCTATCTGTAAAAAAATCAAACACAAAAGCTTGATCCGTCCACATTATAATCGAATAATTTATTTATATGTAACACTTATGAACGTCGATAGTAAAAAGTTACAAAAAAACCGTGTGTGTACTTATGTACACGCGTTAGAAGTTATACTTCTTTGGCGTAACAAGTTAAAAATCTTTTAAAAATTGTATATTTCGCCTTATTCTACGTTTGTAGAAAAAACGCCACTAATTATAGAAAATAGGTATTTAATACTTTGAAAGTTTTATTATAACGCATTATCTAGTTAAATAAAGTTTATTTAAATATCACAAAAAAATATTTCTACATAATTAAAATGTTGACTATAGCTAACTTCAGGGTGTCTGTCGTTTTTTTGTGACGGTGTGCGCGCGCATCGTAATAATTTACTCTCAGCATTTTTCCCTAACGCGCCAAAAGAAGAGTAACTTAAAATTTACTGCCAGATTTGGAATCAAGGTATGCCCTTGACGGACACTTGCTCTGAACGGACGTGAAGAAAAGGCAATAAACACTGCTATTAATTATCAAATTATTTACCTATTGTAACTAAAGGCGATAGAAGTTTGTAAAGATAATATATCCTCTTGAGAAAATGTGGTATGATAATGATGCCTGTTTATCTTATCAGCGAAATCTACTCCAACTTCAAACGAATTGCACCTACAGTATCTTTGTTGTGCCGATTCTTAAATTTCTGTTTGAATTTTATTTTAATTTGCCTCATACAAAAAAAAACAAAATTCTTATTCAAATTTGCTTGGTTTGATGAAATTCTCTAGAATCGCGATGAGATACAAGGTTCAAGGAAATGAGAATCTGCTGGTTCCATTGAATCAACTTCAGTGTCATATGACGTCACGAACACGATCTTATCACACAGAGTAGCATGATTCCGAACTCTTCTTTGACACGTAACTGCATTGAAAAACCTTATCTCGCTTTTAATTCAATCTTAAATATGACAGAAAAAAATCTTTGACTTTAAATGCTATACAGTTAGATAGCTTGGATTTCTTTTTATGGCCCAGTCGGTCATTATGGGTCTTTTACAAGTTTTTATATACCTAATCAAGGAAGGGAGTGAAAGGAGCATGAAGGGAAATCTGCCCAGGAGGCCTACACTATTCTGGCACGGTTTCCCTTCCTTCGCTCACCGAAGAGGTGACGTACAGCTCGGGTCTGTACGTCATGCACAACTCGTTTTTTATGTCATCTCAAAAAAAAGGACAAGCAAAACCCAAAATCCAATTATCAAAGTACAAGTAAACTTAAAGAAATACATAATATATATAAATATTTTCTTACCGGACTATTCCACATATAAGATAATTTGTACAGGTAGAAATAATCTGTGGGGTTTGACGTCATCGCCAGGGGTGCAGTAAAATTCGAACAGCCGTCAACGTTAAGGGGTAGCATGACAGGTGACGGCCGAGGTCCCCCAAAACTAATCCATAAAGTCACTGAGAGTCCGCTTATTAAAGCCAACGATGTGCCCTACAAAAATAACTTACTATGGCTACATATGAAACGTGTACTCTATCGAATAGTTCAAGGCTCACAATTTAACTTAGGTTAACCTTATCGTATTTGTTGCCCAATGAATCGAATTTTGAATTATTATTTATAAACAGTCTCCAGAGTATTCAGGCTATATTCACCTTTGAAACAAATTAAGAAGACATTTTCTCTTTCCATAACTTTCATTCAACGCTATGTGCGAATTTCTGAATTACTTAATGTAAATAATGTAAGCTGTATTTTATAGCTATCTTGGAGCCGTTCAAGTATTACGTAAACAGATTCACAGCTATTTATTCCCCCCCGCCTTCCTCTTGTCAGCAAACGTAAGCAAAGCTGACAAAAATAATAATAGTACATAACGTATTAATTTTTTGTAAGAATCCTCGAAAACGCATTCGTTTTCAAGCATAGACAATGTATGGGTAATATATGAAAAAAGTAAATAATTACTGTTGACGTAATCACCAAATAAGAAAATCAAAGAAATATGGTGCTTACGTAATACTTGAACGGCTCCCATATATCACAAATATAAAGTAATATTGTATGGTCATTTTTGATAAAGTTTCTCAATAAGAACAACAAGCAAGCCTATTACTCTCAATTAACGGGTTGACAGGCCTCGACTACGAAATAAATATGTCAAGATATCGATGTTATTAAATGACGATATCAGCCAAACGATTCCAACAGAACAATTGCTTTGTTGTTACAAATATTTATGACTAAACCATAAGGAATCTGAAGGCAAATGCTTTTCCAGGTATCTTAAACTTTCTATTAGTGAGTAGATGCGTCTATAATAAGTCTCGACACGCTAATCGGACCTTGGCATAGCCCAAGGCAAATAGTAAGGAAGGGTGGTCAGGTACTCCGGGTGGACGGGCAACGCGACATTCATAACATCGTTTGCGCGCGCGACACTTACCATTTCAGTAGCATACGTAGTGAACATTCCTAAAGTAAATACTCCAAATAACGGTCCACCCACAGCCCCAAATATCGTAAGAGCTGCTTGCAGCACTCCACCCAAATATTGAGCCAAAAATGCCAGCACTAAGAACACTAAACCATATGCAAATGCCGCTAGTTTCGTCAGCCATATTATGTAATCTTCCTTTATTTTACACCACCTATAAAAATGTATAATCACCTAAAATTGTTAACATACTAGACATTCGTAAGTAGAGCAAAGTTTTCTGTTTTTATACATTATTGTAGTATTTATAGGTTCTTGATATCCTTGATATGAAATACTTTGTTATCTGTTCTTATACCTGTTAACGTAGTCTGTGAGAGTGACAGCAGCGAGCGCGTTGCAAGAGGCGGAAATGGTGGAAAGAGAAGCGCTGAAGATTCCCGCCACAAAAAGTCCTGCCAGACCTGGCACTGAACGCATCGCGTCTACCACGTAGTATGGCATCAGCTGGTCTATCTGTTGGGAAAAGTTACAAAAATACCTTCCTATAGATGTTATTACGATTTCAGCTCAATCTTATTCTTAATCAATTTAAAACTCGTATAATCACTCAAGGTTGTTTCTTAACTTGGTTTAATAAAATAAACTTTACATTTCCTAATTCACTTATATAAAATCAATTAGCCAGAATAAAGAGAGTTTGAATATACATCCCTGAGTTACATGGCTAATTTTTTTTTCCAAATTATTTTAAATAATTGTCTAGCTGTGGAAATTCCAGAGAAGCCGCCGCATTTAAAACAGTATACTCGTCTAAGCTTATAAAATGTTTTGATATTTTGTCAGCAGCCTTTTTTGGGCTACCTAAAACGTACTGCCGATATCTTCTTAGATACGAACGGATCGCAGTCCTTGTAGACTGCATACATCGCCAACCCACTTAAGCAAGTAACGAAACTCAATAGCACTGTGACGGGCCAGCTCCACAATAGACATTTCTGAGATTTTTCCACGCTATTAACAGTCATTAGACGCTGCACCTATAATGCAAACATGGATATTATTATCTTTTCTCAAGCTAAGATACATAGTTTATTTATTTATTTACAGCCAGTTTGGCCAAACTAACTAAAATTATTATAAAACTATTACACATTATACAATGAAAAGGGATTTTTATAAAACTACCAGAAAAACTTTTCCTATACATTAATCTTTTCTAAGAAGTACACAGTATATAGTTAATAAGCTGTGCCGCTTTGGAGTCACCCTCAAACCAAAAGTTTTGTTTTCGTCTATGTCTCCCGAAACCTAGGAAACCTATTAAGCTATCTACAGATAGTATGTTCGAAGGCGTTAAACTAATTCTTACCTGAGTGTGATTAACTGCATACAGGGAGAGATACGTAAAAAAACCTCCGATACCGAGTGACCATATTGTATGTCTTTCTGTTGGGTCAGGGCTTATACTGAAAAAGAAAGTCTTAAAAGCAATGTATTTTGTAACCCATTTGTATATTATACATAGAAATTAGTTTTACTGAGTCTAGTAATTAATACAGTCGTAAAAATGTTTCTGCGTTATCGTAGAGACACATTAAGCATGAAAAACCAATTATTTAAGAAAATACAACTTTCACTTTTCGTTGCACGTGTTTTTAATATTTGTTTCTACATACAAGGCCTATACAAATAATCTCTAATGCTCATTATTCTTACTTCGAGAAGTCAAGCCTTCCGCCTTCCTTAGCAATAGAAAATATCTTGCTGATTCCACCCATTTGAATCGCAGCAAATATTGGTATTGTCGTAACAGCAGCGAACATTAAAAACATTTGCAATAGATCCGTAAATAAAACTGCTTTCATTCCGCCTAAAGACGAATAAAATGTGCAGACAAGTCCAACCACTAAAATGGAAATAAGCCGGTCCAACCCTGTCACCGCTTCCAAAGCGATCGCTGGGGCGTACAGCACAATACCATTGTAAAGTATCATTTGCAATGTGTAGGTAAGCGATGTCAACATCCGGATATTCGGCCCGAAACGCAATTCCAAATATTCATACGTGCTTGTTTTTTGTAGACCAAAGAACACTGGAAGGTAGAGATAGGCTGCGATAGGTGTGGCAATGCCATAGGCTATGTTCACAATAAAAAAAATCATGCCATAGTAATAGTTCTCCGCTGACACTCCCATGAGGGTGATAGCTGACATGAATGATGCTACCAGGGAGACTGCCACAGGAAATATTGACATATTCCTATCGGCTAGAAGATATTCCTGAAATAATTATAGGCATTTAATAAATAAAAAGATAACAAATTTTTCCACAGTTATTTAAATGTTCGTAGTGTATTGTCAGTTTATAATGGAAAAGTTATATTAAATTGTGGTGGTGTAAATATAACCCAAATTTATTAAATTTCTAGATGTGATACGTTAAAATAAAACAAGAAATACCTCATTTGTTTTTTGTTTTCCGCCGCTGAATCGAAAATATAACCCGATAAGTACCGATAACACCATCGTGGCAACCATTATAATATAGTCCCATACTCCAAAAACTGATTGCACCATCTTGTCCTGCAGAAAACGATATAAAAACTTTTATCACTAAAATGTTTAATTCTGGCTATACACGTAGACAAGACGTCATTATCAGCAATCGTTATATATTCTTAACAATAAAACGTATACCTCAGGCTTATATTGACAGTACGACGAGATAAGTTTATAAGATTACATTCTGTACGAAGATCATTTAATCTGCAGATTCTGCGACTGCGGAAGGCTTATACGATAGGAGGATAATGTTTTTTTTAACATGTCATACTTTGCATATTAATATAATATTAAACAATATCTATAGATTTTTGACATTATCTCTTTTAGATTCTTAGGTTTTCTGAAAAGCAATGCATAAATCAAATTATAGTGGGCGACAGTAGATCATGAGGTTGGGTTTGGCATCTAACTGTATTCTCCAGATTTGGCCCCCAGCGACTTTTTCCTGTTCTCAGACCTCAAGAGAATGCTCGCTGGAGTGACATTTTGCGCTGATGAAGAGGTAATCGCATAAACTGAAGCCTATTTTGAGGCTAAAGGCAAATCGTTCTATAAAAATGGTAAATAATCGTTGTAAATAATCAAAAAAATAATATTTTTCTATGTTAGCCTGCAAATTGGATAGTCCACCTAATATCCTATCCAGTAAATAAACTAAACGACAGATGGCCTTGCTTGAATTGGTCTAACGGTAGACGAATCCCTGTTAAGCGATCTTAGTAATTCGCATAATGAGTGTCCGTTCATTTTGACTGACTAGAACTAAACAATTACATTCCACCGAACAATTCTATTTTTTTTACAAACCGCTTAAATAAAAATGTACTTAGTTAATTTAATTTTAGCAAAAAATAAACGAGATTACAAAACCACTGTGTTTGTTACCGACTAAAAACTCCAGCTTTAGCAGTAAACTTTTTTCCGTAGGGTTTTTTGGAGTTATTTTCTTTTTCAATTTTAATTTTAAACATTTTTAATATTGCGGTCAGTTTGTTAATATGTAATCAATGAGCAAAATGGTTTCAATATCTATAAATGTAAATAAGATATCTTATGTAAGTGAATTTTACCAATCAATAGGCTATGTTTCGTTATAATTTACTGTGTCATCTCTTATTAATATTACAATGAATCTTATAATTTACTTATCAGTTATTTCAAAACAAAATTGTATGTGTTATGTAACATTTCAATTGTACTAAGTATAGCAGACGGCCTGTTTAATCTTTATAAAAAATAATGGCGGCAGATTTTTTTTAAGGTTTCGTGATATTTTTTTTCATAATACATATATTATAAACCTTCTGTACCTGACGGGTGCCAACCGTCTATGTTATGATCTAATACAAGTTGAGTTCCTTAAGATGGCTTTCCTTCACCGTACGAGCAAATTATTTTGCGCACATTAAAAGGAAAATCCATTGGTGAACAATCGAATGAAATAGTCCTTTTCTCTATAACATTAATACCAACCTCGCCCAAGTGTTGTACTGCAGAACGCGTCTAGGGGCTGGCATCCTTTTTACTTTATTTTCTGTACTCATTTAATAATTTGAGGTTTCAACAATACAAAAACACAAGATCAATGTCAAACAAACGCGGCGGGTTGCCAGGGTAACAATAAATAAGGGTCGTTTAGTTATTCGACACACACATTGATTATTGGTCAAAGAGGTGTTTATGCCCTGTACAAGCTCTAATCACTGGATAACTATCACCTTGTCATAACGCATGTATAGTATTTTTTTATTAGTAAGACTGATAATGTATTCATGTTTGGAGTGGGTAATGTATGTCGAAACTAATTCTCGTATTCACACATTTGGCTTCATTTAATAAATTTGTTAAATTTTTTTTTTATCTGTTCTTTTAGTCGATTTTGCTTTCACTTAAACTATAGGGTATCAATTAGTATTCCTGTAACTGGCGCAAGGATGAAATTCAAGACATTACGTCATTAAAACCGTATAGGAATGACTTTTCGTGCAGTTTTATGTAAATATTGATTTATACCTAATAAAAGCAATTATGGTTTGGGATTTTTAGGATTGCTAAAACAATAAAAAAGCCTATAAATCTACGTTACTAACCGTTAATATGATACACGTGGTAAATGCTTACAGATAAGTTAATTTCATTTCTACCGCTTGTTTCGATTGTACAGTTTTAAATTTATCTAATAAGCAAACATCGCATTAATATTATATTACAACTTTATGAAATTACACAGACTTTTAAGCATTAATTTTTTTATTATTAGTACAATCAGATTATAGCTCATGGGAACCATAAATGTTTAATTCATAACTAAAGTAACCGTACGCGTCTTCAATTATACAAAAATATTAAAACAATGTGTCTGATAATGATATTATCTACGATATTATAAATCGTATTTTATAATTGTCTTAAAAATGTTAACGTAATTCCTACGTTAATTTGACAATAACACTGGATTTTACCTACTTGTTTGATATGTAACTTTATACAAAAACATTAATTTAACCTAAATTATCCGGTCTAAGAAATAATAAAATTACGTACTCAATTACCTATCCTTAAATTATTGACACAATAATAAAGCAACACCAAAATAAATATTCGTGAAAATACATATCTAGGATTATTGACATTACTATTATTTAGTAAATTCTATTTTTTTTAATAAAACGAATCATAAACCAATAATACTTACAATACTTAAATGCTGTCCGATTCCTTGTTCCCTTATTACATTTAATAAAGATACCTAATTATTGTCTTGATTATTTTGTTAAAACTCTAGTTTTAGTAATTAATTTTCGATCAGCGGCTGTCAGTTTAAAGAGTTCAATAACTATACAATTTCTTCACGGGCACTTATCTATAATACTATATTTATTTATGTAAAATACCATTTTAGCAAATATTAAATTTTTTTCACAACGATTTGAATGATGTATTCATGAGTTACACACGTCAATGTCAATGACATTCCATTCGCGGAATGAAAAATTGCTTACTTAGTTTTTTGATCATGAAAATTATATCTATCAATAATTTAGGTTAAGAGATTTATTTCCGTACGCACATTGGTCACTTTAACAGTACATTTCTAATTCACTAATCAATTGCCATCCCTCGGTTTGACAGACAGAATTCAACCAATAACAAAGGATACGCGATTCGTCATTCGACGGAAAGTCATCCGATTTCTCGTCAGCATTGAAAGCGCTGAGATGTTACTGACTATAACAGATATTATTTTATTCGGGTTTTGATCTGATGTTAAATATTTATGGTTTAAATAAAGGTATAGAATTTTATTATTTATACCAATTAATATATGCAAAAGAAATACAACTACGAAAAAAACCACGCTACCACAAGCGCTTCAAATACTAAAAGCGCTATTCTCGTACAACTTGTCATTAGATGTGAACAAGTTTTAAATTTTGAGCGACAGTAATTTATTTGTAATTTTATATGCTCAAATAATTAATAATTTTAATTTTAAATTATTAATAGCATATTACTTATCGTGTAAAAATGCTTACAATGGGGAACCTAACAATATAAATAAGTGTCATCTAGAGGAGTGTAGCTGTAACTTTAAGCTGTATTTTTGCTTTGTATTATGGTAAAATTATGGTATGGTATGTATGGTATTTCAAGATTTTTACAGATATAGGGACATTAATTTTGGAACGTACCTAAGCAACCAACATTTTAAAATATAAAAGTTGTCCCTAGAGCTAGTTTCAGCTTTAAGTCTGTAGTTTCGTTTGCGTTGTAAAAAAAATTAAAATGAAGCATATTTTTTTAATAAAAATTTAATTTCGAAAATTGAATTCGTATATTTATTGAATATGTTTTAAGAAGTACACACACCAGCGCCGGTACTTAGTAAATTCGAATAGCGTTAGCAGCTACCATGACAGGTTCCAACACTATTAGTTGTAGAAATTTCCACGAAGCTTTAAGCTTAGTACTCATTGGCATATGCAGCCTGTAGTATTATTTTCCAGTACCTGGGGGTTTAGTCAAGATGCCTTAACAGTAGTGTCTACATACACTAAACTAAGTCGAAAACTAAATTTGTTTGATTATTTTTCCGACCCAAATATCGACCAATAGAATTGCACCATTCGACGTCACGTGGTACAACCTACATGGTATTATACTGATAATTTTTTGAAAATTTTCTCTGGTAGTTGCTTCAAGAAAAGTATTAAGTAGTTGTTTTATTCATTATGAAATCCTTATTTGTTAACTGTACATTTCGTCTCATGGTGCAATTCTATTGGCCGACATTTGGGTCGGAAAAATAATCCCCCCGAATACCACACGAGCTTATTACGACTTTATTTGTTTGCAGGGAACCTTGAGGGAAATGCCAGATAATTTTGAAGCTCGTATTATAAGTGAAAATTGGTCGACACGAACTGTCATCAATATATAGGTACACTGCTTTTAAGGCATCTTGACTAAGCCCCCATGGCATCTGTGTGAATTTTCTGTGTGAAGTATCCTAGCATAGAATTTCAGATCAGTAACCCGACATCCTAAGGTGGGCAAGGCTCATCCAAGTATGGTTTCTATATACCTACGTCTATAACCTTACTTACTTAAATATCATAATGCTATTAAGCTAAATGACCGGCGTTAAAAGCCCTGCAATTAAATGTTCGCTTCAAATAATACCTTACACGTTATTCTGAAAGTACCAATTAGATTACGCCGTTTAATGACAATACTAGAATATATTTCTGCTAATATTTTATTAGGCGTTTCAGTTGTAGTACAATAATATTTTACAAACTATTTATTTAATACAAAGAAAAAATGTTTTCTATAATTGTATATATAAATTACTAAAACGTCAGAATTAATTATCATAGGTAATTAGTTCAGAAAATAAAAAAGAACTAATTACCTATGATAATTAATTCTTTTTTATTTTCAATAAAACAATGAAACGTTTTCCATCTATTTATAGTTACTTATAGAGTTCTCTATTAAACAACACTTCTTTTTGTCAACGTAAAAAATTGCTAAAAATTTTGTGAAACTGGCCGATAAGTGGGACAAATATAAACAAAACCATACAATTACCCTTGCTACCATGCTTTTGTTTTTTTAATCGATCTTGTCGTTCGAGGTCCGAGGGCGAGTTTTCAGTTTCCTTTGCCCAACAAACATTTAAGGTTGCATTAAATCTAAATTTATAATTATTATATTATATAGAACAAAATCGCCTTCGCTACTAAATTGTACGGAAATACAATAATAATTACGTTATTGACTGAATTTTGGTTGGAACAGTAAATTGAATCGTGCTTTAGAGTAATTCTGATGTAATCAAAAGAAATGGACAGACCTCGCCGTTATTTTGCAATGCATTTCCTTTTACTGCGTTTCCTAGGATTAGGATACTGGCACCACCCTGACGAGAGGGATACCAGGAATTTCCCTGGATTATACCTTTATTATGCCATACTCACAGAACTGGTTTGGGTCGCGGGTTTCGTCGGTCTGGAGACAGTTGACCCTTTCGTTGGAGAGAAAGATCTCGACCGCTTCATGTTCAGCCTTTCATTTGTCATCACTCATAATTTAACGCTCATAAAGCTCTATATATTTTTCTTTAAGAACAAGGAGATACAGGAAATCGTGCACATTTTGGAAATCGACTTGCAAATGTTCTATCAGAACAACAAAAGAAATAGACGAACAGTTAAAGTTACGCGAATATTGACTGGTGCATTTTTGTTCTTTGGATGGATAACAATTGGAAATAGTAATGTTTACGGGATCATACAGGATATAAGGTGGAAAGCCGATTTTCCACTGTATAACGACACTGAAAGACCGCCGAGGACTTTGCCTCAACCAATTTACATACCATGGGCTTATCAGACGGATAAATCTTACATTTCTACATTTTTATTAGAATCCATAGGTCTGTTATGGACGGGACATATCGTAATGACGATAGACACATTCATTGGATCAGTTATACTTCACATGAGTAATCAGTTCGCGATATTGCAAGAAGCACTGGTAACAGTTTATGACCGCACTAGAATGAAATTAGCTAAAGGTGCAGGTAATACGGCTGCAGATTTGGACTTAAGAATGAATAAGGAAGAAGATTTTGAAAAGGCATTAAATATAGCTCTAATGGATTGTATACGACAGCATCAGTTGTTGATTTCGTAAGTTCACTAATTAATATCCTTTTCGATACAAGTCATCTATTATATCAAAACGGTAGATACTGTTGGGAACTGATGCAACAAATACATTTAGTATTCGAATGATGTATGTATTTGCTTCCGTTAAGTCCAAATATGCTGCACTATGTTTCTGTACAAATGGTTATTGTTACTACTGCAGTATCTATTTAATTTTACGCAGTGTTCTGTGATTCAAGTATAATTTGTGATTTTTTATCGGACCGTCACCCGTATTACAAACACTCTATGTTCAAAAGCCGACTTACCGATATCCAATAACATAAGAACAACTTAACACTATCTTCAAAAATCGGCTGTAGACTTAAAATAAGAAACTTTGATATTATTTATTACGTGGCATGTTTTAAATTGCAAATAAGTATAATTTAAATTATTTAAAGCGTTATCATTATGGTTTTACAGTTCTTAACTAAACAAATTGCCTTTACCGCCTTAGTTCCCTTTCAACTTAATCATAAAAAGATAATTAACGTTTTTTAATCGTATATTTCGTTGAAAATATGTATATACATTATCATAAGTCTAGACAAGTTTGGCACGTCACCTATAATAATTTTGTCTACTGACTTCTATCTCCAACTAAACGGCTATTTAATATGATAATTATTTAATTCATGTTCGCTAATATGTCAAGAGAAGCTGACACAATCATATTTTCGTGTTTATTGCATAGGGAAAGAAAACAGACGCATAATTCTTCAGTCTTGGTGAAAGAGCATTCCGCATTTGAAAAACGCCAGAGTAATGTTTAAATTACACGGGTCAACACGAATTTTGAGTCTGCGTTCTGTACCTCTGATTTTGATTACTTATGCCTAACTAATTAAAGAAAAAATATTTTTATCTATTAAAGTTTGCTTTTGTAGTTACTACAACGAAATTTATTTTTTTATGAAAGAGCTCTATTTTTTAATTTCAATTATTACATGTAAAAGGAAAACAGTTTTGAATTCACATTTTTTTATTGACTTTAATTATACAAGACGGCATATATAAACCCACAAATACAAAAAATAATACAAATAAGACTTTAAAAATGAACAGACTTGGTATTTCTTCTGTGTAAGTTGGAACTTTTTCGTATGAGCCCCCAAATGTAGTCCCACCATGTTCCATCATGTTTTCATTATATTGTCCTTGATAACGCTTTTCAAAGTTTATTACATTTTGGTGGAAACGTTCCCCTTGCTCTTCCGAATATGCACCTAAGTTGTCTTTAAAGTTATCCAAATGAGCATGTATCATGTGGACTTTCAATGACATTCTGCAACCCATAACTTTGAAGTTGTGAAGCATATCAGTAATAAGCTCCGTGTAATTCTCTGCCCTTCTGTTGCCAAGAAAGCCATTAATCACTGCTTTAAGGCTGAGCCACGCTTGTTTTTCGTGGGTACTGAGGAGCTGTAGGAATTGTTCACTGGCCATTATTTTCTTTATTTGTGGACCAATGAAAATACCAGCTTTAATTTTAGCCTCTGACAATTTCGGGAAAAATGATTTTAAATATTGAAAGGCCTCAGAGTGTTGACGCAGAGCCTTTACGAACTGCTTCATCAGACCTAATTTAATGTGCAATGGAGGCATTAAAATATGATCGGGCTTCACAATCGGTTCATTTTTGACATTATGTTGTCCTATTTGAAACTCGCTCCGTTGTGGCCATGAGTGCTGCTGGTAGTGAAGTGCATCGGCTCTACTGTCCCATAAACAAATGTAACACGGATATTTAGTGTACCCGCCTTGCATTCCCATCAGAAATCCAACCATTTTGAAATCTCCTATCAAAACTCCTAAAAAAACTGCTAAAACACTATAATATTCGTTTTACATTGTGTAAAGGTACAAAAGCAAACTTTATTTATTATAAATAGAGTTTCTGCTTCTTTTTCGATGTATACAATCAGAAAATATTTACTAAATAACAGACTCAAAGAAAAATATTTTTTTTGTTGACTTGTGTTATTTCTTGTGTTTCAAAGAATTTGAAAATACCAATATATCTATCATCCGACGCGAGATCATTCAAAACTCCTGAAAGTAATAAAAGCCGGTTTCTATAAAGATACGACGCAATATTCTCGGATTACCGCCCAAATATTGTAATATAAAATGCTTTTTTCTCACGCCTGAATCAACATAATCGGCACTTCATATTCACCTCTAGTGCGATATGAAGGGGAGCATAGTTTGTGATAAATCTTCAAATACTTTGACGCTTAGGTACTAAGTCGCGCTGGAGAAGGCGTAGCAATCAACACTACTGGATAATATTGCGTATTTCTTTTAAAATGATGATTTTACCTTATATTACTAGCATAAGGATTATCAACACTATGAAAAAGACATAAATTTTCTATTAGTTTTTATACTATTTTAGAGTAAATTTTTTTAACCTTAATACTATAGAATTTGTTTTACGATAAAAAATTCTAAAAGTTAAAAAAAAAAAAAAATATGTTTATTATGGAACATAAGATACATGTATCACTTATTCCACGTCATTAAATTTGAAGGCATCCCTACTCATCGGCAAAGAAGACAGAGGGTGTAGGCCGAGAGAAAAAGCCGGCGTAAAAAACTCTCGGTACTCTTTTAAAACAGCAAATCATCAAACAACACTTATTTAAAACAAATATCGCAAATTGATTAGAAGTAGCCTGTCTAGCACTAGTCCCAGGCCCTTTTATCAACTAGATAATCGTTGACTTTATAGTAAGCCTTTTTACACAGCTTTTCTTTAATACATTTCTTAAATTTATTGAAAGGCAGTGATAAAAGAGCCTCTGGGATTTTATTAAAGAAGAGTATCCCTTTCCCCAAAAAAGATTACTTACTAACTTTAGATAGTCTAGTACGGGGAAATTGCAGCCTGCGTTTGTTCCGTGTATTAACATTGTGCGTATTTTCTATTCTAGTAAACTTATCACTATTTTTGTATACATACATAATATTTTCATAAATATATTGCGAGGGAAAGGTAAGTATATTAATTTCCTTGAATTTATCTCTAAGAGATTCCCCATTTTAAATTATAGATTGCACGAATAGCCCTCTTCTGCAGGATGAAAATAGTTTCGACATCAGCAGCATGACCCCATAATAATAAGCCATAAGTCATTAAGCTATGAAAGTAACTAAAATAAACAAGTCTAGCTGTATCGACATCAGTTAGTGAGCGAATTTTTTTAACCGCGTAGGCTGCAGAACTAAGTCTCTTCGCCAATCCGTTAATATGAGGGGACCACTGAAGTTTTGAATCCATGGTGATTCCGAGAAATACAGTTGTATCATCCAGATTCAATTCCTCACCGTTTATAATTGGTCTAGTATCCATAACCCTTGCATTTTTTGCACAAAATTTAATGCATTTTGTCTTTTTTGCATTAAGTAGAAGGTTATTCATACTAAACCAATGGACAATCGAAGACAGAGCATTGTTCACATCGTCAAAATTTGTTATTTGTCGTTTGATTTTAAAAATCAAGGACGTGTCATCAGCAAACAAAACTATCTGATGTTTTCTCTCTACCATGAAAGGTAGATCATTTATATAAACAAGAAAGAGGAAAGGGCCAAGAATTGAGCCCTGTGGTACCCCCATATCTACTGCCGACCCAGAGGACCTCTTACCATTCACTTCAACCTTCTGAGTTCTTCCGTGTAAATAGGAAGTCAGAAGATTCAGTGCGGTATTCTTGATGCCATAGTGGCGGAGTTTCCCGATTAAGGTCTCGTGTTGGACACAATCAAATGCTTTGGATAAGTCGCAGAAAACACCTAAAGCGTCATGCGACTCCTCCCAAGCCTTAACTATATATCTATATAACTCAACACCGGCATCGGCTGTCGAGCGACCCTTGGTTAAACTTGGCGTCTATTGTATTAAATTAGCTACGCAGCTTTATTGTAACTATAAAATCTGCAACGTTTTATAATAATCGCAAACTGGCTGGGTAATCTAGACTTCATTTTCTGTAATACTAGTTACTTAATTGAAGATATTATTTATTGGTATCTATAATATTAGTTATAATAATCAACTTCATCTATCACATACATATTTTTTTATTGTTTAAACAAATTGTTTAATTATTGCTCAAAAATTTTATTATACTTTTGCATATTGCTGAACGCTTTTCCACTTTTAATGTTATTCAGAATATTATTATATATTTATTCAAAATATTCTTCCCTTTAGATATCAAACCGCTAAAATAAAAAAAATGATTTATATTATTATACCTAACCATATAAAATAACTTTTATAAGACAGAAATGATATCTATAATTTTGTCAACGTCTTTAAACATTTCACTTAAAATCTATATCCTATATAGTGTGGTTATGAGGGACCCGAGAAAATGGCATATTATGTCCCTTATGAGATACCCTACTAATTAATTGTCCTGCGTGATTTTCCTTACAGATGTGTAGAGAAATTTGCGAAGACGTATTCCTATGGCTTTATGACGCAGCTTCTATCCAGTATGGCGGCGATTTGCGTTGTAATGGTTCAAGTTTCGGTAAGGTTGTATGAAAAAATATATTGCACGATATTATTTCATGCAGAACGGTCTCTAATTAATAACTATAATTAGCTTGTTGTTAATCGTATAAATCACATCGCTATTATAAACATAATAGTGTCTAATATTTCTCTCCTCTTGTATTAGAAAATGCGTAAATGCGATATGGATTTAAAAGCGCGTTTATTTTCTGTTCTGTAACCTGAACCGATTTTTAAAAGTAAAAGAAGGTTTTATGTTGAAATATTAACGTTTATTAGTAATCATAACAATCAAATATACATACAGTATTTACAATTTTCTTAACCTACATAGTACTAATAAAAATAATTAATAAAAGGCAAATTAAAACAAATTTACAAAATTTTGGTCCCTGGGGCAGTGAACCTGAAACGTTGGCAGCATTTCCTCGGTTTATTGCGATACTTAGAAATATTAGATTGAACATATGACGTCGAATATTTCGGTGAATAATTTTAACAGACAATTTATTTATTTATGGAGATTAGAAGGACCTAGTACATATATACCAAGGTCTGTTTTAGATTAGAGCGTAAACTAAGACCTTTATGTTACCTTAACTAAATAATTATTATATGTATATTGTTTGAATAAGTAAAATAGATATACACGAACATTTCATTAATTTTCCGTACATTTTATAGCAAGATGCATCTAGCTTCAAATCCATACGTCTTGTTACATCTTTAGCTTTCTTTGCGGCTATGATTATACAGTTGGCTATTCAGTGCTTCACAGCAAATGAACTGACATATCAAGTAAGTTCGTGACATACTTTTTCCAACCAAATAATTGGTGTCATGTAAATGTTATCATGTAATTAAAAGTATAGTTTCTACTTTGTATGTTTGTCCAATATTTTTCGTGCGACTGTGTGTCACATATAAGGAAATGAATTATCACGGTAATGTAGGTTTCATAATACTTTTCCTTACAAATGTTATTTTTGATACACCGCTATAAGTTGAAGTTCTATTCCCATTTCTCCTACCTGCTTACGTTCCCTATATTCTGGACTCCAGAATCTGGAAATTCGAAATTTTATTCAATAAATGTGGTGGCAATTAGGTTTCGTCAAACCGCTTGAAATTACATTAATTACAATAAATTTATTTCTTTCCAAAATTACGTTTAACCGTAGGACGTCATGCAATTGAATTTCGTCATATAACAAAAACTTTATTATTCTATTATTCAATTTGTAGTTTGGAATATGCATTTATTTGGCCGCTTGACGTGCGAGTAAATTAATAAAACTTGTTAAGAGTCCAACGAGCTCGTTCTGAGAATTATGTGCAGTTAAATTATTTGTTAACTGCAAAAAAAACTAAAAAAACTGACATTCCTCGAAGAGAATCGTTTTAATAACTTCTTCGAATAAACTATTTTTATATTCTCTCAATCATTTACAAAATTATAAATCCTATATGGACGCCAGAATTTAAAATGTCAACATTTATAAATATTCTATGATATTCTAGTAGATATACCTACTAGATCATCAATTGAAGGTTCCGTTGGGGTATGGAATTATATATGGATATCAAGTAGGATATTATCACAGATAAATATGATATATTATGTATCTGTGCCAATCAAGAATTGTTTCGTCGGGAACAGACGAGATGTCCGTTATATGCATATGGTGTCTATGGTTATGTTTGTGTACAGATATTCTTCTTTAATTAAAACTACTCGTACCTACTCTCACAAAATTATGAATGATCAACGTTTCTAGTTAAAAAACGACAGTTAATTCGGGGGTTTTCTTATTATATTCAAGCCAGTATACAATTTTAAAAGTATTTTAAAGATGAGAATACAGACATACGCGGTAGTTTCACTTGCAAAGCCTAATAAGGCTATTCAAGCATCTCTAAATACTTTCGCTATTACCAGATAAGTCTTTAAAGGCATGTTGCAGGCTAGTCTAGTATCAGAGTCTGTAATGCAATGCAAATGGGAGCGAATGCCACCGCGCCTTCGCCCCCTATTAATCATGATTATGATGAGAACGCAGAGGCCTCTACGTTTGACTGCAGCTGGATTTGCTAATATGGACAATAATTGCTTTCTAGCAGTAAGTATTGAACATTTAATATATAAAATTCTCGTGTCACAGTTTTCGTTGCCATACTCCTCCGAAACGGCTTGACCGATTCTCATGAAATTTTGTGTGCTTATTGTGTATGTCTGAGAATCGGACAACATCTATTTTTCATCCCCCTAAATGTTAAGGGTAGTCCCTACACTAAATTATTTTTTTTTAATTTTTAGATAAAATTTTTTATTTTTATTTTTTTATGATACAACATTAAAAAATACATACAACCCCTAATTTTCACCCCTCTACGATCAACCCCTATTTTTTATTATAAATGATAAACATGGCAAAACGACGTTTGCCGGATCAGCTAGTAATATACAAAAAGGAATGTGTCATTATAAACCCTTAACTCTCTGTAGGTGCTTAAATCATGTCTATTGTTATTTAGAAAAATATGTGTATTCATTTTATTTAACCTTATTAAATGAAAAATACAGTAATTGCATTGAACTATTTAAAAAATGTTTTATAAATGATGACCTATTTACCCGCGCAAACGATTGAATTAATTAATAAAGCAAACTACTTATCGTATTTTATTAATAAAATAACTTTTTCAGATAATGAAAGCTGCCTATTCATACTACGCTGTATTAAGTCAAAAACAATGAACAACTTCATTTGCAAAGTCGTAAAATAAAACGATTTATTATTAATTACTATTTATTAACAAATCACACGAACACTTACACAAACTATCACAGTTTCTTATTCGATATTTAATTAATAATTATTTTTAAGTATCTGGTTAATTAAATAAGTATACAAAGTAGTTCTAGATATTACTTGCAAAGTTCTGAATAAATTACTTCTGAATATGTTAATTTTAATTTTAATTGAGGTCGGTCAAAGCTACGTATCATATTTATATGGTAGTTGCATTGAACTGGTCAAATTCCTCAATGTCTGGAGCTGGATCAATAGATCAAACGCACAACAAACTGTGCAAATACTACCTACTTATTTTAAAGTAATAGAACAATATTAAAAATTAATGACCTTAATAAGACTACGATTTCGGTTACCATGGTTACCATTTTGTTAACACGTAACCAGTACGTATATCCTCCTTTTATAATAAGGCCATAGAGAAATATGTCTTTGATATAACCAAAGATATTTAAACATAGTAAACCTCTTTGATAATAAAATACATTCAAGTGACAATTTAAAATATGTTTTATATTTCCAATAGCTTCGGTTTCGGTGAAACAGAACGTGATTTCTTCGGAGATTGTACATTTAAAACTGTCATTTCTTCGCATCTGAAAATAAGTTTAAAAAGCTTATGAAGACCAGCGTAATAGGATACAAATTATAATTATGTTATTTTTATTTTTTATCCTAACAAGGAATAATATCTTTTTATGAAACTATTTATGGCACTACGAAACGCGTCTAGCCACATAAATAAAAATAAGCGTGACGCTAAAATATATAGTAGTCAGCATTAGATGCTATTGTGAGTGGACGATCTCTCGATCCCCAGGTAGCCGAGATCCGCCGGAGCCTGGAAGAGTGCCGCAAAAGAGGAACTCATATAAGCCTCTTCTGGGTAAAGGCGCACGTTGGTACGCCAGGGAACGAGAGGAATACGCCGCATACCCCCTGTCATATGTAAAACATCAGATAAGGCAAAATACTCTAGATGTATGGAATGAACGCTACCTGGGGGGTGAAACAGCTGGAACTACAAAATTATTCATCGCAAATGTTAGAACTGCGTACAAATTAATAAAAGAGAAGCGTTTCACACCCCAGATGGCGCAAATTCTTACAGGGCACGGAGCCTTTGCACATTACCTTCATAGGTTTAAAATTAGGACAAGCCCAACATGTGCCTGTAGTAATGAAGATCAAACAGTTGAACATGTGCTCCTACATTTCCCTATATTCGCATCGTCCAGGCACGACCTGGAGCAACAAATGCAGATGACTGTAGACCGTAACGGCCTACAGGACATGTTAATAAAGCACAGATCGTGCCTGGAACGGTTCTGCGATAAAATTGTTAAATATATTAAGGCGGCAAACAAAACTCCAAGAACGGGTCTCGCGAGGAATTGCGTCCCGGCTCGCCCATGAATATTGTAAACAAAAATATTACAGATGTAGCCGGGGCGTATTTCGCGAGACGTGTGATGTGAAGCTTAGATATAGAAAAAGTCCATGGACACAATGGCAGGGGAGTAGAAAAGGTATTATTTAAAAAAAAAAATATCTTTTTATGAGAATCTTTTGATTTCAAAATTCGAGAAAATAAAATATAAATTATAAAATAATTAAGCTATGATTAAACCACACGGAAAGACAGTATTATAATTACATTCAAACAGTAAAGATAAATAATTGAACAAAAAATTCACTGACCTTTCATCATTACCATTAGCTGCGTTATAGTAGACGTCTGGCAGATTCTCATGTTGGCTCAGCAAGGATCTGCCCGCCCTGGGTGAATGAGGCCCTTGTCGAGCGTAAGGCGAGAAGGGCACTGCCGCTCGTAAGGCGGCTAGTACTAATAACATTCCACCTGATAATTAATTAACAATCTTAGCATTGATATACAAAGTTTAAAGATTTTAGAACTGGCTACAGTTTTCTGATAGCCAAAAACTCTAGGCTTATTTAAAATTTAATGAAACAATGCATTCATTTCTGTTCTTACCAAAAACAAATTAATAACGTGCTTATTGATTATTGCTACAGCTCTTTCTAAAATTAATAATAAAATTTGTACAAAGAGTAAAAAAGCACTTTATTGCAATAAATTTTGAAAGGACTACATTTAAACGGCATCTCACAGGCAAATCTAATAAAGGAATCTATATCTCATAGATTTTCTGAAAAACGTTTACTAAAGACATAAAAACTGATTTGCGGTAGTAGCATGATATTTTGTGACTATAACGTTTTTTTTATTTATAATTAGGCAATTAAATTATATGCGATAGTTAATAGAATTAAGTAACACTTTAAATACGCAAGACGGAAAAATTTATGCACGGAAATCGTGAAAGGATTTTTTTGTTGAAAATATGACGAATCTGAACTCATCACGTTACACGAGTACGTGATATGACTATTCGCACACGAATTTTTGACTTAGTTTCTTTTAGAAATATCAGAATATGTATAGAACTATTATTGTAGAAAACTTATTGTTATGTTAAAAGAAGTCTACCTCAGAACGTAGTAAACCAGTATGTTAGTTAAAATTAAGCGCAAATTTGATTACATATCTAGTTATAAGAGCAGTCAAACCACATTTTTTTCATGAAATTGGATTATTTTCTGTGTTACGAATTGAAATACACGTATGTCCATTACAAACGTAGTGGTTGTGCATTATGTTATATTATATTTTAAATTTAAAAATAGGTCAGGTTTTGCTGAACGTATCTAAACAAAATAAAGCAAATGTATCCTGGAAGAATAAAAATTTATTAAACACCGAAATTCTATGTTAAATGTATCACATAATTTTGTATCACTTATCACTCGACATTTTATTGCTTGAGACTTAACATTGCAACAATAATAATACTTTAACCGTGTTTTGTGTCGCGAGACGCGTAACACACCATTCGTGAACGTTTATTGCGATTAATATAATTTATCTTCTTTTTTTTAATTTAAAAGTAACAAAAGGCCCTAGACACAATGGCAGGGGGGAGTAGAGTATTATTAATTATTAAAAAAATGTGATAAATGTTTTCGCAAGAAACAATTTCTTAGAAAAGAAAATATCGGGAAAACTCGCTGTGAGCTAGGTCGTTGACGACGATATGTGCGAATGGAATACTCAGAGAGAAATGACACAGTTTGGTAGCTATAACAATATTTATTCACACATCAGCCACACGCCTTTCCTCACTCGTTAGATTTTCTTTTGTTTTATAAATTTCTATATTTATATTGTTATTAGTCTAAAGTCTTTTGATTCTTCAGGCTTACGAACCTGCATTTTTCTTTTCGAAAATGTTTTACTTTTTTTGTATTTCCCACTTGACTTGTAATACATATATAGCCTCATTTGAGCTTGATACGATATGCGTTTTGTATGAGGTACTAGGTCATAGAAATGCCCCGAAATGTGTCTGTCCCGTTTCTAATTGGGGCTTTGCACTAAGCGCAATATAAAAATCTTAATATATTACCCGATACTGTAGCAAGTAGTGTGAGATTGGCAAAGAGTAGAGCAGTAGCAACGCAAGCATAGAATGGCGCTCGCGCCCTACCACAACACCATCTGAAGAAGTCCCAGCACCTCAAACCAAGTGAGTACTCCCCACGACGAGCCAGCAGGTCCACAAAGAGAGCAATCACCCACATAGTCTCCATAATTAATACTAACGCCGCTCCTGCTCTGTTAAACAAAAAGAAAAAAAAGCCGAAACTAATTATAGATAAAAAAACTTAATTCATCGAAGCAGTAATTGCTGATCCTATAATTAGATAAACGGTCGAAATTGGAATCGACTGTTTGCTCTGTATAATCAACCAACTAACTACAAGAAAAATTAAATTAAATACAAGAACTTACATCAAAGCCGGTGCTACATCATACTCCAGTACCGTAAGCTCTGCCCCAGCACCGCTCATCACTGTTGACATAAAAAGTAGAGTATCAAAGGTATTTACCGTGAAAGGTTTAATGCACACCATAATGTTCTTTGTGTATCATAACACGTCATTAAGAAGTGTTTGTCTGTTGTTTTTATAACATAGAATTGTACACAGTTACAAAAGTGTATTTTTTTGTAAAAATAAATCGATCCTAGCTTTAAAAAAAAAATAGTTTAGTCTATTTTTAAATATACTTTTTTACTTGAACGGAAGTCTTACCTACGGCTGTAATGATGCCCCATAGCCTCGCCAGGGGCTGCAATAAATCCCATAGTCTTGACTCTAGGGTTTGTTTTGGGGCCCTTGATCTTCTTACATTCCTGTCAGGGACGTTCTGAATTTGACTTGATCCCTCTTGGGCCGATGATTTCATATCGACACTCATTCTACTAACTTCATATCTATTCTAATTCAATTTACTCATGAGATACGAAACACAGAGGTACGATTTCACTTCCTTGTTTTTCTTACTACAGTTCACTTTTACAGTCAAAATCCTTCACAAAACCTATTTAATATTGACTTTGACCTGTTTTTTTATTATTTACAATTTAATATCACTGGTATACGAATGTAATTATTTTTATATCACACTGTTTACTAACATACTGGCACTATGCCCAACATCTAATATTAACTGCACCTGCACCTTGACCTCCACACAGTAGAGAAATATAAAAAAAACACTAGAAATTTGCAAATGCGTCTGTAGTCTGTAGATGTCGAATATTTTTCCCGCGTTTTTCACAAAGACGTGAGATGTGCAAACGAGCTGTCACGTCGAGTTTCTGACTTGTGAATGAGAAATTTTCTAGTCTTGATATGATCTCGCCGTGTAGTAAAGTGCGTAAAAGCAGTAACTCCCAGCAACTCATAGTACTGAATAAACAAACATAATTTACGATAACGTCAAAATATGTTTACGTATGAGATATGAGAATTTTTATGTTATACCTGAAATCTGGGCCAGGGAAATACAATTCAATGTCATTTTAGTATGATCCTTTATTAATTTACTTAGACTTACCCCTTATTCATAAAAAATAAATCAGTCAAATGCATGGTGCATTAACTAAAGTACCTATCTACTTATACTACGTTTTATCACAGTGTAAACACAGTTTGACAGAAAGAGATGAAAGAGGATGATTTCACTATTTTAACTAAAGTATAGTTAAAAGAGTGAAATCAACCTGATTTATTACATTTACGCTACTTTTCACGTAATACATATATGGAAAAATATAGTGTAATAGCGGTAAACGTCATCTGGTAATCAACAGGAATTAAGTTTATAAATCGAGAACAAAAAACAGTTTTTTTAATACAAATACTAATAAACAATATTTTTTCACCTTTATAAAATTTTTGTAAGTTAGCCGAATCATTTTTTACGAGTTACTTTTTTTAGTCGCAATAAGCGTCAACTTGCAACCTACGGTGAATATAATCAGTCCAGCGATTTAGAAGAAATTTTTTAGCTTGATTTAGTAGAATATTTCATTAAAAATAAAAAGTGAAATAACATCATATCATATTTTACTTTAAATTATTAATGTAAGTACTTACCTATATCAGGTATGTTTAATTTTAGAAGGGTTACTACTGTACCTATCTCAATAGTATTATTACTATAACTTTTGTCTTTTACTACACTACATTACAAGTTTCTATGGGTTGAGATATGAGTAAGATATAAGACATTGCCATCGAGAGCGTCTTGTATAAAAATAACAATTTTTCATAAAAATATCAATTTGTTCTGAAAAAGCAGTATTTTTTATGATGATTAGAAAATGTATTAAATGATGAAATAATCATGTTAGGTGCCTGGCGACAGTTAAGCCTTTTGGACATGAAATAATTTTCAAAATTTGATTAGTAATGTTATGTTTATCTGTTACAAACATAAAACAAAAAAAAAATTTGTAATAATATATCTATAGTCTGGCTCATGAAAGAAGATAACGAAAAAGCGCGGCAAATTCAAAAAAAATTAGTATGGTATCCCTAAAAGTTTGATATATTGTGGATTAAACTTACTTGATACTTGATTTTATTTTCTTATTTTTTACATTGATAGTGTATGTCTATGAAATTAAATACTATAGGTACGTATTTAGTCTTTTACTATTGATACTTAAAATGACTAGCATTGCATGGAAAACTAAAACTATATTTATTATAAAATACAACTTTATTCGGATCAAAATCGGAATCCTAAAAATCAATAAAACAAATTTTAGGCTATTTTACCTGTTAACTATTCGGAAAAATAAAACTGAGTAATTGCATGAAGTATCAAGACAATAAATCATACTAACCTAAGAAATTCAATGACATTCTGTGCTGCCATCCGAAAGTTTTCAAATAATTCAATTATCTTCTTTCATTAGCCAGACTCTAGTAAAAATTGAAACAAATACCTATGTTGGTCATGTATGCATCTATGATAGACTGTGGTTTAAGAATCTCTAGTCTCTGATCTAAAAGTTTGGCCTAAAGGTCTAGATACCAGGCCATAAACTCAAAAAAAAAAAAATTGTCTCTGATCTGTGCTCTGTGATTGCAGATTTGGTCTTTGAAATTCATTATTTTTATTCTATTGAATATTGATTACTCAATGTTTGGGGTTTTGGCACCATTTTCAATATTTTCCCCTTAATGCTGTAATTTATCGTCCTGGTGTATAAGTAGTTTACGTTAACAGTTTAAAACAGTGTCCTATAATGCAAACTGGAAGTGGAGCGAAAAACCCGCCGTGGGCTCGCTCAAATGTAAACTCAAATATAACCGGCATTAATCCACAAATAATGGATCCAAATGCCATGATGTCACAACAAAGTATAATGCCTTTTCAGCAAACTGCAGCCGTTTTTAATCCAGGTATGATGCAAACACAAAGCGGTATGGCTATGTCAATGGGTGGACAAATGCCTCTTAATCAGATGGCGCAAGGCCAGATGTACCCAGGAAATGTTGTAGCGTATCCTACACCGCGTGCTATGAATCCAAATATGTACCAAAATACTGCAAATCAAGCACCCCAAGGAAATGAACAGCGGGTTTTTACCGGCACTGTCACAAAGACACATAATGATTTTGGCTTTGTTGATCATGACGTTTTCTACCAAATCTCTGTATGTGCTAAAGGCGTTATTCCTAAAGTTAATGATAGAGTCCTAGTTGAAGCAACATACAACCCTAATATGCCATTTAAATGGAATGCGACTAGGGTGCAGGTGCTACCCAAAAACAATCCAAATCAAAAGGGGGGGAATTCAAAACCTAATAATTATGCTGCTGTACCACCTCCAAATAAGAAACCTATGATGATTCGGAGAAATGATGATCGTCGAGATGATCGCTCCTCAAGGAGGGATGATAGGGTAGGTTTAATTTTATATTATTGTTTATAGTAAATTAAATATATATAAAAAAATTACTCTCCATTATTAAAGAACTTAAATTCTGTTTTTTGTAAGTATGAAACTACCAGGATGTCAGCTTCATCTAATATTGTCTTTATATAGGAGATAGTGATCTCCTAAATAATCATGTTTATATTTATTTAGTCCATTTTAGAATAGTCATACTTCATTGAAAAGTGTTGAGCGAAATGTTCTGTAATCCCTCATTGTCAAAAAAACTAAACAGTTACATTGATACCACTTTATACTACATTAAAATAAACCCATACTACTATATGTATTAATATACTATAATATATACTCGCACTCTATGTAGTATTAAACATATCCTATCAATTCTTAAAGTTATTGAGTTGCTACAATGAGAGGCTACTTATGGCACTTGTTTGGGTGGTGAGGAAAACATTATTTTTCATTATGTCCTGCAATATGATAATTAGAAGCTAGAGTTTCGATCCTGATCTATTTAGTTGTTCGCATAAAGCTAATCAGTCTATTTAGTTGCCTGTTGTTGATGCAAACAAAGGCTTACAAAACTATACCACCTATGTTAGTTATTTATGAATAACCTGTATTATTACAGAAACGCTCCCGGTCAAGAAGTCGTTCACGCTCGCGTGATCGCCGCGACAGTCGCAACCGTCGTGATTCACCCCCTCGAAAACGTCCGATTGTACACCAGCCATCTCCTGTCAAGTATATGGTCAGAGTACCAAAGATGCCCCTTGATATGTAAGTACTACTTTAAAAAAAATTATAATGACTGACTTCTATTTAGTCAATATATTATTTTGTATTTACGTAAGATGTCTTAACATTCATTGCCAATACTACAAATTTTAATGTACTAAATTTTTTTCAGACAAAAAATGGATGTTCCCGCAATAAGTCAAAGATATAGTAATCTCTACATACCCTCTGACTTCTTCAATGCACACGTAAAATGGGGAGAAACTTTCCCTCCACAATCACCATTTTCTCTTAATAGCTCCTGTCAATATCATATTCTGGACAAGACAGTCTCAACACCTAACCTGAATGATGCAGTTCTTGAACCACCAGATGCAGATTATCGCTTTTCAGCAAAGGTAAATTAATTAATATGTTTAAATAATTATTTATAATTTCTAATTATGCTTATAATATTATCTTAATTTTAGGTAATGCTTATTAGTATGCCAACATTGGAGTCACTCTATCAGAAATGTGGGCTAACCAAAGTAGACGAAAAAGACAAACGCAGTAGTAAATCACCATTACATCCTACTAGATTGATTAAGTTTCTTGTGGGTCAAAAAGGCAAGGGTACTGAAAATTTTGCTATCGGTGGACCTTGGAGTCCATCTCTAGATGGAGAAAAGCCTGAATCAGATCCTGGAGTATTAGTTAAAACTGCAATTCGAACATGTAAAGCACTCACTGGCATTGATCTATCTGAATGCACCCAATGGTAAGTTTTTGTTGATTTTGAACATTCCCAGCTATTTTGCAGATATGTTTATTCTCATATTAATATCAAAAGTTTCAAGATAATAATGTGAAAGCTGTGCTAACTATTCTTAGATCCTTTTCGAGCAAAGAGAAACTTTCGATATTAATTGAAAAGTGAAACATTGTACAGCACACATTCAATATGTGAGAGTATGTGGGCGATTCCGTAGCAACCTTTCGAAGCAGAGGCTAAAAGCGCTGATTATTTTCTCGTAGAGGATGTGTGTCTGCCGGGAGCGGTCTAGCAGTGAGTATTTATTAACATAATTAACCGTACAGGTACCGAATGGTGGAGTTTTACTACTGGCGCGAGAGCGGTGGGAAATCGCGGCTTGAGTGTGTGGTGTTGTTCCTGCCCGACGTGTGGGCCGTGCAGTTGGCGGGGGCCGAGTGGGCCGGCCTCGGGGAGCGCTATAAGGCCGCGGAAGACGCAGCCCTCAGGGCTCTGTGCCCCGACGCCATCCAGTCTACTACGGCAGAGGACATCCCGGAGAGATCACAAATTGTTTGTTCCCAGTTTTGTTTAGTTTTGCTTCCGGCTGCGTGCGCTTTAAGGACTTCGGCAGCCTTTGCGATTGCGCAATGACGTCCTGTCTGCAACGCTCCGATAGGTGGAGAATTTTGCGAAGGACAGGTTCCCGTATAGAAGTAGATAGGTGTACTCAATTACTTGCTTTTAAAGTTTAAAGTTTTGAAGTATAAAAGTAAAAAGGACGACATCGAAATTTGTATACTCCGCTGGGTACTGAAAGATTTGTGTTTTTTAGGAAAACCAAGATCTGGATAGCACGATAACTATTGATGAGAATGATGACGATGAGGCTAAGCTTGAACCAACTCACTATTCAAAAATTGATCTAAGGACCATTAAAGTTGACGCTTTGAGACATGAGTTAAGAGCGCGTGGTGTTAGCTGTAAAGGTGAGCCCTTGCATATAATAATTAAATGCATAAACAACTAAAGAAATACTAGAGAATTGGTTGTAGTGTAGAGTGGTAAATGTCTATTGTCTATTATCAAAAGTTATAAAACCATAGAGTTGTAATTATCTTACTCTCCACATTCTTTCATATATTGTCAATAAGGCAGAGTTGATGCTTAAAAAAATGTATTTATCCGGGTTTCTCTGTACTCCTTGTATATTATATACAGGTGTCCCATACAGCAACATGAAGCTGAAGCTGAGATTTGATTTTTATAGTACTTGCATAAAAATTAAATCATATAATGTATGAAATTATATATATACATTAATCTTCTGGTTTGACACCGCGAATCATATTGTTTTGGTCTGGACTTGAAAAACTAGGACTCTAAGCAATGATTCTTCTTTAAGATATTTAAATATTTTATCAATTTATAGGCATACGATCTCAACTTATTTCGCGTCTTTCAAAACTAATAAAAGGAGAACAAGATAAGGACACAAAAGCAGAAGAGATAATGGAAGTAGAAGATGATGATGAACAAGAAAAAACTTCGGACAAGGACGTAAAAGAAACCAAACCGGAAGCCTCTAAGGATGAGGAAGTGAAAGAAATTGAAGCTGAAGAAAAGAAAGAAGAGAAAACAGATAAACCAGACAAAAAGGAAGAGGAGAAGAAAGACGATAAAGATACGAAAGACGTAAAAGATGACAAAGAAAAGAAAGATGACAAAGTGAAGAAAGAAAAGCCGAAAACAGAGAAGGAAATTGAGGAAGATAAGAAAAAGGTGAATAATTTTAGTTCCATTTATCAATCACGTTAATCATAATATTATACCTAATCTTAGGTGTATCACTTTTCACATCAATAATCGTTTCCATAGCTAGTTACTATTCCTTATTTTTTTAATCTGGGTTCATTTATTAAATACACAGAAATAAGTTTTATGTCGTTACTTCAAATCTTTTTTGTCTTAATTATAATTATCAAAAAACTGGCTTTAGTTAGTGTTTTTTAATTGTTAATGACTATCGGGAATCGACATTCATATCTATCGAGTTTCATAACTACACTAAACATTAATTATTACATAATCAACTACTTTCACTATACACCTTTTTTCAACAGAGATATTTAATTCCCCTTGCAACTGTTTAAAAATAGTGTAATGTCACTAAATCAAGCCGATTTTGCATGTTTCGTCACACACACAAATACACACCCACACCATACGCGCATTCTCTCTGTTTTTATTATTGTTTAGTCTAAACTTTTTAATTGGCGTTCTAAATAAATAAACCTAATTATCCTTTTAGCAAGAAAAAGAAAAGCAAATGATTAAATCCCGCTACGAACTCCCAACCACACCTCACATTATTGTCCATCCGTCTGCGACGGCAAAAGGTGGCAAGTTTGGGTGCAGTGTTGCCACACTATCTCTACTTTTGGATTACCGGGTCACAGATAATAAGGAACATAGCTTTGAGGTAAGATTTAACAATTATAATGATAATTATACAATATTTTTACTATTTTAAAATCTAATATGAAGCCTATCTCTAAGATATAGAAATTACGTTATGTTAGGTTATCTTTATAATTTCGTTGTAAAGTTTGTAAATAAAAAAACACCTTTGAACAGGTACCATTCCGTATCTGTTTCGTGATATTTTTTTTAGAATTTTTTAATAGAAACCTACTTGATCAGCCTTCTGAGCCTGACACACGCCGGCGACTCTTTTGGGTCTAAGGCATGCCGATTTCCTCACGATGTTTTCCTTCACCGTACGAGCGAGTATTAAATACGCACAGAGAAAGTAAAGTCTATTGATGGCCAGAGTTTGGAACATACGACCTCTGGCATTATATATGTGCATATATTATACCAGGTAATATCTGGTATGGTATATGAGCTCGAGCCACTAGGCTAACACTGCTAATTATTTGTAAACTTCTAATCTTAATAATGAATTGTTTTAGCTGTTCGTGTTCGCGGAACTCTTCAATGAAATGTTAATGCGAGACTTTGGGTTCTACATCTACAAGACACTTTATACTCTACCCGAGAAAGCGGAGGAAATTAAAGACGAGAAAAAAGACGACAAGAAAGAAGAAAAGAAAGATGAAAAGGAAGATGTCAAGAAAGAAGACGAAGATAAAAAGAAAGAAGACAAGGATAAAGAAGATAAAGACAAAAAGGACGACAAACGTGATTCTCGCCGGCGTGATCGACGGGTAAGTTATTTAGACCATATTTCTCTTTGATCACTTTTTATAATTTTTTCAAAGTTACTTCGATTAGATTCGATTAAAATTGTTATGAAAAAATAGCATTTAACATTTTAATCACTAATCACTTTATTTTAGATAACTTAACATACATATTTAACAACGCAGAGCTTTTTCTATTTTTTTAAATAGTTTGCGCTTTTAATGAATAATATTTTTTATTTCCCGCCTTTATATATATATATATCTTTTCGTTTTCATAGGACTCGCATAGCGACGACGAGCGCAGCAAATCGCCGCGCAGACGTAGTCGTGGTGTAGACTTGCCAGCTGACCCTTACCTTCTATTATCCCTGGTCTACTTTGACACAGCCAGAGGTGGAATTGTCTCGAGAAAAGATCTGCAGAGCCTTTTCATTAGCCTAGGTCTTCAGCTCTCCAGGTCTCAGATACGAGCTGTACTAGAAAAAGTTTGCGTTCGGGATAATTTTAGTTACAAGTAAGTGGCAAAAAAATCACAAATTTACACTTATGAACGTCAAAAAAGAAATACATTTTAAATGCTTCTAATATTACATTTACCGCTAGTTCTCAAATTAAGGGAGTAGAACGGAAGAGAAGAACTGGCAATAAACTCTCCGCCACTCTTTTTAATCGCCAAGTTTTTTTTGTATACACAATGTTTGTAAGTAAAGTAAAGGTTGCAAGAAATACAGTAAAATTAAATAAAAAAAGAGGGCAATGGCGGCCTTATCGCTTTCGATGGTTAGTTAGTAGTAGGCATCGAAAATAAAAAAGCTTATAAATATTCAGAATATAAAAAATATCTTTTAAACTTTTATTATCTCTTATTACTGATGCTTTAGACGCAACAATTCGACTGCGTGATGCAGATAAGGCTGATGACCTTCTTGCCTATTATAAAAAGCAATCACGACATAGATACAGAAATATGAGGCACAGACCTAAAAAGTTGTAGCGCCACTGGGATTTCTATAACTACCTAATAATTCGGTAGTAATGTGATTACGGTTCGTCATTATCGAGTGCCAGTTCTAGCAAAACTATTCTATTATTAAAATTGATATTGCTAATTTCCAGACCCCTAATTCAAACTCTCAAAGATTTGGGGAGTGGAGTGGACAGTATTCAAGATCTATCTTTGGATTCCGCTGTGTCTAGTGAAGAACCACCTCATGTAAGTATTTCTTTACTAGCTGCGAATCTAACATTCTAAGTAATTAGTTCATTTATTCATAAAGCACACCTAACACACATATGGAAAATATTACGAGTACGACATAAAGGCCGGCAACGCACCCAATAAATTGGGTGTCCATAAACTGCAATGACTGCCTTTTATAGGCGTCGTAAAGAATATATCATTTAGATTAGATACAACAACAAAAATACAAGAGATACAACAAATTGATTATCTATATTCTATATACATATATTTTATTAAATCGTATTTTTTAATGTAATGGCAGAACGAATGTGTACTACCAGCCCTCTTAACAACGAAATTCTTAATATGTACTTAATACTTTCGAAACAATCAACATTTTTTTTGTTTACCCTCAAACTTCAACGTAACACTCGAAAATTAAAAGGTATTTTTTGATCAACCTGGGATGTAATTCCTTGGCTCATATTTTTTTGTTTCGGTTCGTATTTGTTTAGTATTGATTGCATTTTTTAACTCTAGTCTTTAGGGGGCGTCCATAAATTACGTGAGGTGTTTTTTTAAATTTTCTGTACCTCCCTCCCCCTCCCTGGTGAGATGTCGTGAGATTTTATTCAACCCCCTCCCCCATCCCCCAATCTCACGTGAGATTTTTCAAAATGTGTGTTTCCGACATAAACGCGTAAGAAGCTATCTTTTTGAGCTCAGAGAACTCAAAATAACACAGAATTCGTACTATTGAGCTCGATGAGCTCAAAAACAAAATAAGTGAAATGTTGAGCGTTTAGGTATGGAGTTGGCGAGAAGTTGCAGAGATGGCCTTTAGGGTCAACCGTTTACCTAATTTTTTTTTTTCAATCAGAAAAAAAATTGCGTGATAGGTATTTGCCGAGACCGCCCCCTCTCTCCAACGTAAGATTAAATGAGATTTGACACGACATCTCACCAGGGGGGAGGGAGGTACAGAAAATTAAAAAAAACACCTCACGTAATTTATAGACGCCCCCTTAAGGAATGTTAAAAAAGGAGGGTGTTTTGTACTTTTAGTTTATTTTAAACGTTTAAGCAATTAAAATAAAAATCAGCACAAAATTACAGAAGACATTCTCTGTGATAATATGATATAAATTATGTATAATAAGGTTTAATAAATATTTTAAATTTTTAATTCTAATATACATACACAGTTATTTGTTATTTAAATTTGAGGTTGTATAATTATAAATAAATGAACTTTCTTATTTGTTTATTCCCTTTTTGGAAATTTTTAACTGAAATAAACTCAAATTTTATCAATTTTTAATCAAATCTTTTAGATTGTTTGTCTAGTCTATTTGTTGCAGTCGTTCGTAAAATATGCGTATACGTTCATTTTTTTTATGTTAACAAACTGATACTCGCAGTTTCGATGGTTTGAAAACATAATAATTGGGCACTAGAACCCATTGGGTCTTGGTTTTATGGATATTTTTTTTCTGTTTAGCTAATCAACTGTGCCTGATACACTTTGATATTTTAAAGCTATTTATATTTAACAACTGGGATTTGAACGTATGATCTACCTCCTTCTTTATATTGTAATATAAGAATTACTAATAAATAGCTGAATTGGTCACGTAACAAAATTCCATTATTATAATAATTCAATTAGAAACATATATATTTTTAAGGCATAATATGTTTGCACGTTGCGGCCAAAATTGTGTATTATGTTCTAAATTTGTGATATATTTTACAGGTTGCGGATTTGGAATCGGTAATAGCGTCCGGTAATCGTAATTTATTACCGGTTTTCGCACAGGACTCCACTTTACAACCTTCCTCCGCAGAGACAAAGGACGTTAGTGATACAGGTTGGTATTACTTTAGATCCCAAAATTATTTAAATTTAGATTTAAAATGATTAGATTCAGTTAAATACAACGCTGGAAATATGTAAAAGAAATTAATAAGCACACCAATATATATATAATGTATCCAATAAAATTAATATCTACATAAACCCATTTATCATTTTTAGGGCTGTAACTAATTTCTTGCATTTTAAAGAGCCGAATTAGTCTATGTTATATTAATACAAAATATATTTCACCAGGTTTAGTCTCATACAAATCCCGCATAGTGGACGTGGGGGCGCTAGTAAACTCGGCTGCTAAATGGCAAGCTGAGCGCGCTCGCTTGCAAACAGCGCTGGAGCAAGCGCAGGCAGCATTAAAGGCAGCTAGAGCGACTGCAGCTTCAACGCAACAAGCGGAGCGTGGTGCTAAGAGCCAACTTAGCGATCTAAACGCTGACCTCGCCGCTGCAAGGGCTAGGATCACGTCGCTTATGGTTAGTATTTTTTTTAAATGTCTTAATTACAGAATTAAATAGTATTGTTACTAGATCAAATATCGATGTATGACAAATTAAATTGGCCTTAGAAGCCGTGGGAAAAAGATGTTGTGTGTTTGTTTTAATATTAAAAGAATGATAACTATACTTACTAATACGTTACCATGTAGTCAACTTTAGTCTTAAAATAATATTGGTATAGTTAATTTACGAAAAATCTGTAGTATTAACCTGCAGTCAAGATCCGCATCTCGTCTGGGTATCAATGCTGACTTATTATATCTATCTTTCCGTGTGTGATTAAGGCTCGCCTTTAGGTGAAGTAGGGATTATTTTCTACTTGCCTATTAGAAAAAAACTAAATGTTCACGAAAAATTGTATATATCTGAAATACAATTTCATCTTACACATAACCTTGGCAATTAAAAGAAGTGGCAGACAGTTTCTTGCCAGTTCTTCTCATCCGCTCTACGCCCTTTATTTGAGAAGTGATAGTAAATGTAAATTTAGATCAAAATAATAAATAATATTGACGTTCAAAAGTGTACATTATGATTTTATTTAACAACCTTTTTTTCAATATCAGGCTAGTTCCAAGATCTTCCACGCGGCACTAAAGAGCATAAAGAGCAAAGCAGACGCAGTGGTCAACATAAAGTATGAAGATGATGACGTCGTTGAAGTCGTCAACGGACCGGCCAAGTTAGTACATGTGTAGTTAGAATAACAAACTTATTCAATTTTAATATCTATAGAGATAGTCATTTTAAATAGACTTCAAAAAATCCGAAGGTTTATGCAATTGTTTTTTTGAAATCCATAAATGAAACCGCTGGGCCGATTTTGATGGTGTTCCTTTTCAAGCGTATTTTTCTTTCCGTTATACTAATTAAAAACTCATTTTCAGAGAGGAAAAGGAATCTGAATCAAAACAAAAAGAAGCAAAAGTAGAGACAAAGGAAGAGGTGAAAGATGTCAAGAAGGACATTATAAGTACAGAAAATATGGACTTAGATGATAAGGAATAACCCGAAGCTGTTTCTGACAAGTTCTTGAAATGTGGATATTTTTTTAGTATTAGTCAAAAGGAATTTTAATTTTTGTGTGAAAATATGGGATGGCTAACTGACTCCAGGGGACCTACGTAACTAATTTTAAACCGATTTTAACATAACTTGAATTAAAAACGATAGTTATTTGTCATTTAATTACCCTCACATTGAGGTTAAGCTGCTTGGTGACAACTTCTACTATTTGTAATCTATTAATAGTATTGGAATAAAATAATAGTTCTATGAATAATAATTTTATTTTGTAAATTAGTTCATAACCGTAGATGTAAGACACTATTTTAAAATACAATACTTGGAGTATGAAAATTGTTTTATTAAATTAACATAACCTAAATAAAATCTTATTTTTTATAACTTTAAACTTAAAAAGCTAAGGATTCGCTATTTGTCCAATACATTATATAAGTAGCAAAACACGAGTAGGTTTATAATGTCGAGCCTCAATATAACATGGCGCCAAAATGGGTATATGCTAGAGTATAGAGATTATTATGGACTTTCAGGCGTATTAAGAAAAAAATTGAATCTGATAAACCTCAAAAATTTACCTTTTTAATATATATTACATCAAAAAAATTAGGGGTTTATAACCATAAGTCTACAAAGGAAAAAGTGAAAAACTGCTTAGATAAAAACATGTAAATGTGTTACGCTCTGACATGATATGACTATTGAACTATTAAATCTAAATCTATAATTATACATTAAAAATCAATCATTCCTGTCAAACATCGAAATTAATGGAATGCTTTTAATGTTACTCCTTTGGCTTACAAAATACAAATAAATTTAGAATATTTTTTTCAATTATTTCACTACTATATAGGCATTACATAATCCAAATAACATAAATGCTAATTATTAAACTATAATTGCTTAATTTTAATCAAGAATACAATTACTACTTAAGAATAATAACAAAAATCTTTAATTGGAAATATAATAATAATAATAATAGTATAATATTTAGTACCATAGTACTAAATATTATACTATTATTATTTTGCTATTTTATTGAGTGATTTTAATTGACGATTTGGTGCCATTTTGAACACAGAGACCATTAAATCGACAGCTTTAAACATGAAACATTAGATTAAAAATAGTTATTCAACACCATCAGAGCTAATTACAAAAAGCTTTATAAGCATTTTAAAAATAAAGGCATTTTTATAATACTTAAATAATATTTGATTGGATTCCTTTGCTCCCCACTTTGTAATTACTAAGTTGTTACTTGACGCCGTCTTGTACAAACAAGCGTTTTGACAGCTGTGTAAATTTTTAACGTTTTAGCTCCATAAAATACAATAAATGTAATATTTTCAAGCCAAATTTTGATTCTCTGTGACAGATTGTAGACCAGCGCCATTAAATTCAGTCAAATCAGCAATTTAGGACGATAGAAACATACATTTTTTAATTACACGCAGTGTTCAACATAATTACCAGGGAAGAGCCCAGTGACTCCATCCATAACACCTTCCCACCATCCGTCATCATTCTTTTTCAAAACATAGATAACAGAACTTTCTTGGAATGACAGTTCATCCTCTTTGTCAGCATAGTAGTCATAGATTGCCACAACTGAAAATGAATATGAGAAATTTTATGTTACGGTTTCATGTTTAGACAACAAATTTATGCAAATCAAAATACATTTCATTTATTTATTTACTAGCCGCATCGCTGGGCGAATTAAAATAGGAAATAAATAAAATTTTATGTTTCATTATTATTATTTTTTTCATATTTTTATTATTCTTCTTTTTAACTTCCCGCTAAGAAAATTGAAAATTTTCGAAAATCGAGTTTTTATCAGATGTTGACGTTTTGAGGTTCTAGGAAGCCTCCCCGAATGTTTCCGCGGTGAAGTCCGTATGTATAAATTTTCATAAAAGTAAAACAGCAATAAAAAAATGAAGGAACGTTGGAATTTAAAAAATAAATAGCCATAAACCATCAAGGAAAAATTTCGCATCGAATGGCAGTAGTTTCATGTCGATACGATCACCATTTTTCTTATATATATATAGATTTACACTTTTTGCACAGAAATTATAATTTAAAAACATAACTATAATCAACATTTTATTGGGTCAGATCAGACAAATCAAACTCAAAAAACTCAATATGGATTTGAGATTATTAGTTACAAACATACAAATCATTCCTTCGTATAACATTAGTATAGGTAAACATCGCAATAGTTCGTCACTTTCAAAATGTACTCATGTATTATGATTATTTTGTGTACAAAAAAATATTCCTTCCATTTAATACTCACCTTTCTCCATGTAGTTCTTGGGCACCCACCCGGGCAAGTCTTCTTCGTCTGGCACTATGGCCGGCACTGCTCCACTGTAGGGGCCCATCTTGTTCTGAAAGTTATTAAAAACACATGTGCAATTATTTTATTGATCCCTCTCCCAAAATTTCTAGTACTTTATAGTTGGACAAGCTACAATTTTATGCAACAACCCTAAACGACACAGCCTGAAGCCCAAAACCGATATGGTTTGGACGCTTTAGCTTGTAAGATTCCATTGCATTATTGTTAGAAGGGATATATATCATCGGGCCGCCGCGCCGGCCGGTATCCTCGACTAGATTGTATGTAATTAGTCCTATTTTATTTTATAAGAATTTTAAGGTGATTTTATGATCTCTGGCTACCCATATAATTACTATATAGATTGACTTACATGCACGTGCTGTTGTCGTCCAAACCCATCGTGCGCGAGTTCATCGTCCATGGGGGGTGGCGGTAGGGGGGGAGACACCGAACCACCGCGGATAGACCCACCCGCCGAAGATGAAGACGCACGCTATTAAAGAAATCATATAATAATGTGAAAAGCTAGCTCAATATTTATACCTATAGTCGAATTTTTAATTAGACGATATCAACTGACGTTTACGGTGTTGTCAGTTTTTAATGAAATAAAAATAGTGTTGTGACAAAGTAAAAACCCCTGAATTAATGATCGGTGATGGCACTAGTCGCCGCGCCGCGCTTTGTAATAAGACGTCAAAAAACTGATTTTAGTTACATAGTACTAGTACCTAATTTATATCAGAGCACTTTTATACAATTTTGAAATAGAAATAATATTCTTTTATTGTTTGAAATGATTGACTATTCACACTCATTGTTCATTCATCTGATTGAACAAGAACTGAACGCATCACTATTACTTTAAATATGGCAACATTATTTTACAAAGTGACATTAGCTACTGTCAGTTGGCTTCGTCTAATTAAAAATACGACTATATACATAAATATCCATTATACATATTTACTTTGTTTTGTGGATTCACGTTTATTTCCACATGTAATTTTATAACTATGGTTTTCATACATATGTGAGCAATACGGTTGGTTGCTTTATACATAAACGGTAAATAAATGATCAATGTAACGATTTGGCCCCGACAAGGGCCCCGATAGTGAATTAATTATAATTAATACTTTTGCACTTTGAGATTGTGTAGAAAATATTGAACTATGAAAAATAACAACAACTTAATTCTAGACAAAATTATACAATAAAACTAGTAGAGATTATTTTTACCCACTTACTAGTACTATTAGAGGTGGCAGGGCAACCTCTAAAGAGATATTTATTTTCTAGGCTTATAATCTCAACTAATATTTATAGTTGCTTGTAAAATTTACTAAATCATACCTGACCAGGAAGGCTCATAGAATGCTGGCTGTGTTCTCCATCAGATCCAATCAAAGGTGATGGAGGGGCTGAAATATTTTCATAAAGCTTCATTAACATCTCATAAATAGTTTTTCTTCTCATTGTGTTTTGCTACGTTATATATACAGGGTGGTCAAAAAGTCGTGGATCAAACGCAAATAGGGGATAGATGAGGTCATTAGCTGCAAAAAATTGTTCTACAGGAGGTCTCTAAGCTCAACCCCTGCAGAGTTATAATTTATTTTGCGTTTTATAAGAAAATTGACTTTTTTTACTAATTCTTATTAAAATTCGGAAAAATCTACATCCTACATCTTTTTCATAATATCCACTAGATTGGTACTGATGAGTTCTTGCGTTAGACATACTATTTATAGTTGTTTATTGAGTGTATTGAAGATAATATTAAGTTATACGATATAATTTTTTTTCAAATCAAAACTTTTTGTTTACTTCGGACCGCACTGTGAAAAAAAATTACACTACCGAAAAGTGACCCTGTATAACAAGTTTTGGCGCATTTCTAAGGGATTCTGAAAAGGTATTACACGTAGCCATGAGCGGCTCTAATATCTTTCTAGGTCGAAAAAACATCAACGATTCGGACTTATGATACCTTATTTACCTACCTGTGACCAGTGCTGTGTGAATCGGACTAGATTTAAAAAGTCTATAGTATACTTACGTGGCATGCTCGCATGTAGATCTTGTTGAGAATAGTTGTTAGGAGACTGATGTTGAGTTGGATGTACCATACCGACCTATTGGAATTCAAATTTAATATTTAATGTGATTTTGATAAGCCAATTTATATGGATTACAGGTTAGTGGCATTACAATAATTAACCCTATTTGCAGATAATAACATTCTAAAATTTCATATTAGTCTTATTTCACTAATATAGTTTCTAACATACACACATTACAGTAAATTGTAATATGTTTCATTATTCCTCTGTTATTAGATTAAGTTTACCTGTGGTTGTGCTACAGGCAGGGTGGAGTAGCCAGGAGGGCGTCGAGGGTAGTTAGGGGCATAATGTGAAGGCACCTGTGGGGGAGCCACAGCAGGTGGTGTACGGTACTCACGTGATGACTTGCCTGAAAAAATGATACATTCAACTTAGTTCTAGAATATTTAAAAAAAATCAATTCTGTGTGTTTTTAAATTTGCATGATTAATCACTTTACCAAGTGTACCACGTCCTAAAGTGCCAGTATTTGATGCTGAGGCAGAACGCACAGCAGCTGGTGGTGTGGGAGGTTTTGTTGTTGGGGCAGGAAGAGGTGCAGCCCCAGGCACTGAGCTTGAACGACGTCCACGAGGGGTTCCACTGACATTACTGTTCCAACGAGCACCATGACCAATGTCATCAAGAGCTGCAATTATACAATGACATTAGAAGTAATACAATACTATATAATTGTTAGATGTGACTAGATCTTACCTGTATAATCAATACTCTTCCTTACATACTTTATAGGCTTTTCAGGATTAGCTGGTGCTATTATTTTATATTGCCTGTTAGTTACTTTATTAGCAGTAAGAACACCAATTTCTCTGCGAGCAACCTTTTCCTTGTGTATAGCTACAGTCTGAGCAATGTGGTTCATTTGTCCCTCCATTTCTGCCAACTGCATGGTTTGAAGCTCCAACAATTGCAAAAAGTTATATGCGAGAGTGTTGATTTGGTATGCAACACTTGCCAAAGACTGAGTAGTATAATTCTTAGTACTTTCGAGTGCTAATCGTTTGTTTTCAGACTGGAAATAATTTGCTTCGCAGTATTCTGCCACTCTTTCGAGATTTGTATGACTATCTGTAAGGTGATTTCGCCCTTCAGGAATTTCTGTTTGTAGTAATGCAGCAAGCTCAGCCATATTGAAACTGCAGACAAAATCATATCAGTTATTAATAAGAGGTCAAAAGTAATTTCACAGGTATATTATTACAATCCTAATTATACAAAAGTAAGTTTAGTTTAAGCAGTGTACAGTTGGTTTGCATACACGCCCAACAACAAAAAGGTACCTGTTTATTATTTGTCGTATCAAGTAGGAATTGTGATCAATATAAGATTTAAGATCGGCCTACCAAACTAATTAGGATTCGGTCTATCCTTAAACTAAAACAGAGCGCACGAAATTATACTTTTAAGATATTATTGTGATTATTTTCAGCAATATAATAGAATATAGATGTCAAAATTGTATAATCTTTTTTTTTTTTAGAGTTTATGGTCCGATATCTAGACCTTTAGGCCATTGTATAATCTTTTATCTATGACTAGTGTTACCAGCTCTTTTGATTACAAAAGTGCACTTAAGCGTCCATTACTTAGTTCTAGATTTTTTTTTCTAATATCCTATTTTATTTATTAGTTTGCTAATCTATAGGAAATTAAAAACGATGGGGTTTTTTGAAAAATAATATTGCTATTAACTATGAACATAAATATATTACAAGAATTTGAGTACAAGAAACTAAAAAAATATTTATAAAAGTATGGATATGTTTAATTGGTTTGAAAAGCAGTAGTAAACTAAATTATACTACTACTACTATAATGTAAGGTGATAAAGTAGACAACCTTTGTCCACATAATATTTAATACTCTTTTAATAAGTTTGAACATATTTTAACTGTAGGTTATGCCAGTATTGCCATTATCCCTCCCCACCGCAGATGTCCATCCTGCGGGGTCCGAGCCTTGACGTGGCCGGGGAGGGCTTAGTAACTGGGGTGCAAGCCAGCACCTTGGTGAAGCGAATCGGATATAGAGGGGGGCCATTCTATCTAGCCCCAGCGGCGCTTCATGCGCGTGGTATGGCTGGCCTTTAAGGCTGGCGAGGCTCGTCGAATTGACGGCGAGCCCCTAACCTCAAGTTTCTGGCGCCCGGCGATGGGGTGAGTGGCCGGGGGGAGTTCGGTCCCGAGGGCGTCCCAGGGTGAGCTGTCTTACCTGGATAAAAATTAAAGCGAAAATGAAGACAAATACTTGTAAAACTACCCCAGGCGGGTCAAATCCCGCCACCTGCTCGCAAGAGCCGGTGCAAAAGTCCCACCGTACTCTGGGGGGGACAATCTTCATGATTCCGGCGCTTTTGCCGAGGCGAGCGAGGAGAAAATCATTAGAAATAACACATGCGATAGTAGAATGATATCCACGGACCAACCAATAAACCCGGATCTGAGAGAATTACAAGAAGTGACCGTGGTGCCTGAGCGCACTCTATGTATTACGCCGGTGCCGAGCGTTTCCAGGGACATTTTTGGCGACCATCCAGTTGACGCGCCTACGTCTGATGCTGGAAGGTTATCGGATTCCTCCGCGGCATCTATGATCAGCGCCAGATCACTGGATTGTACAGACCCTACATATCCTAGATTCTGGAGTTCTCGCAAACGAACCAGGAGTGGCGAAGACGATGGCGACAGTACAATCAGCGAGTCGTCTGTTCGGACCCCACTAAAAGTTGCTACAACAAGAAGAGGAAGAGGCCGCCCACCAAAAACCAGAGGGTACATGGGCTTGGCGCCTGCTAGGTCTGCTTATTTAAAGGCCAAGAAAACGGAAAAGGAAGCCCAGGCTGAGGAGGAGATCCTCGCTTCATTGACTGAGCCGAGTAAACCCGCACCAACACCAGCGGCAATGAATGCAGAAGGGGAAATTTTGACGGCAGATCTAGCGCAGAGGCGCATCGAAGCTAATCTGCAAATGGTAGAGAAAGTCGCGACTAAGTCAAAAAATCTTAAGGGTACATTTGTCCACGCCCTCAAATCTGTCGCTAAATCTATTAAAGAGGACACAGAGGTACTCGCTCAAATGTCTGTTTCGGATGAGACGCGAGCTCTTCGAAGTGAAAACGAGCGGCTTCGAAACTTTCTGGAGGCGCTCCAAAAAGAGATGGGAGAGTTGCGAGAGCTAATAAAGCAACGCCCTACAGATCCGGTACCAACACCGGACTTAGAGGACCTTGAGGCAAGGCTCATGAGCCGCCTTGTGGATAGGATCAATGCTAGAATAGAAAGCATAGAACCAAGACTCAACCCGGAGCCTCGCATACGACCACCTCTCTCCGCTGACAAGTATAAGCCGGAGGCTGTGGCAACAACGTCGGGGTCCTCCAAGGTTAGAAAGACGACAGCAGCGCCCACTTCGAATACAGTGGCAACTCAACCCGAGGACGGCGTGAAAAAGAAGAAAAAGAAGAAGAAACCTAAGAGAAGGCAAGAGAATGTGCCTACAGGGACAACTGTCCCTAATGCTGCCCCTCTGTCACCACCGTGCCCACTGCCAGAGCTCCCTCTACTAATGAAGCGTGGAATAAGGTGGTAAAGAAAGGATTGCGCCGGAAGAAGAATGAAGGTGCTCAACAACTTCCAGCACAACCTAAGAGACAGGCAATGGCAACAGCTGCACAACTGAAGCTCCGTACGCCCAGTTCCGCAGCAGTTGTTTTAACGCTTCCGCCGGATGCCGAAGAGAAAGGCCTTACATACGTAGCAGTCCTAAAAGAGGCGAAGACAAAACTAAATCTGGCTGAGCTTGGTATAGAAGCGGTCCGGTTCAGACGAGCTGTCACGGGGGCCACCATCATTCAGGTCCCCGGGACAGGTGGTGAGGAGAAGGCGGATATTCTGGCGTCTAGATTAAAGGAGGTCTATGGTGACGGAAGAGTCCGGGTTTCCAGACCTGTTAAATCAACTGAGTTGATGATCTCGGGGCTGGATGAAACAGTCACCCCGGAAGAGGTCAAACAAGCCATTTGCTCTAAGGTCAGCTGCTCGCCGGACAATGTGAAGGTCGGTAGCGTCCGTCAGAACAGGACTGGCCTTTTTGCGGCATGGGTCAGGTGCCCAGTGACGGCGGCCAAAAAAGCTGACCGAAGGAAGGTTATTAGTGGGATGGGCTTCCGCCCGAGTTGTTCTCTTGAGGGCCCGAGAACTGAGATGTTTCCGCTGCTTCCAGGGCGGTCATGTAGCAGCACGGTGTACTGCGGATATGGACCACAGTCACCTTTGTTTTCGGTGTGGTCAATCTGACCACCGAGCAGGGAGTTGCTCTGAAAAGCCGCAATGCGTTCTGTGTGCTGCGGCTGGCCAAAGAGCAAACCATCTACTGGGGGGTAACGCGTGTTCGGCCCCCAGCAAAAGATGCCCAGAAGGACGTGGACCGCGAACAAAACGGCCACTGGTGCCCCACCGATCGGGGACACAGAGCAAATGGAGATAACACCTGGTTCATAGATGGCCCTCCAAATCCTACAGGCGAACATCAACCACTGCGCCAAAGCTCAGGATCTGTTACTCCAGAGCATGGCGCAGTGGTTAATCAATATCACAATAGTATCGGAGCCGTATATGATCCCCCCAGAGGGAAAACTGGTTTGGCGACCGCAACGGTTTAGTTGCGATTGCCGTTTCGTTGCCTGAAGGCTTGCCTCAAGCCTCGCTAAAAGGAAACGGCTGTGTCGCTGTTAAACTAGAAAAAGTCGTTGTAATTGGAGCTTATTTTTCGCCGAACCGGAGTATTACAGAGTTCGAGGCCTTTCTGGCAGAAATGGGCTCCCTGGTGGAATGGGCTCGACCATTAAATGTTATTGTTGCAGGGGATCTCAACGCGAAGTCGTCTATGTGGAACTCTCCGGTAACCGAAGCCCGTGGCGATGCGGTGGTTGATTGGATCGCCACTCACAACTTGGTGATATTGAATCGAGGATCGGAACGCACATGCGTGCGAATGCAGGGCAGTTCTATCGTCGATGTAACTTTTGCATCCCCGGAACTAGCAAATCGCGTCTCCAACTGGCGTGTACTTACAGAGGTTGAAACGCTTTCGGACCATAGGTACATTCGGTGCCTGGTGAGTCCCCATCAACAGCTACCACCAGCAACTGGTAGATCAAATCAGCCTCCACCGGAAATAGGGCCAAAATGGTCCCGTAAAAAACTGGACTTTGACTCCCTGTCTTTGGCATCTTTGACAGAGGCGTGGTGCCCTAAGCCAAATACTATCTTAGCAGATAGAGAGGTGCAATGGTTCGGAGAGGCTTTGCGACGTATTAGCGACGCTGCAATGCCAAGGATCCGCCCTATTCCGCCCCGCCGACAAATGTACTGGTGGTCGCCTGAACTCACCCAGCTACGGACGGCTTGTGTAGTTGCCCGACGTCACTACACCCGATTACGTCGAAGACGCCTTGCTCCACACGATCCGGAAGAAGAAAGAAGGTGCTACGGCGAATACCAAGCAGCAAAATTAACTTTGCGCATTGCAATTGGAGAGGCCAAAGAGAAAGCTTGGGAAGATCTTTTACAAACTTTAGAGCTAGACCCATGGGGGCGGCCATATAGGCTAGTGATGACCAAGCTGCGCCCCTGGCTTCCGCCACTCACTACCACTCTAGAACCGGTGTTCCTGGATACGGTAGTCTCCGCACTATTCCCGGCTAACAGTTCGCATCCAACATCTCGCGACGACCTCCACTATGATGAGGAAGTCCCAGAAGTGACGCCTGAGGAACTCTCTGTTGCAATACTTAAGCTTCAGAGCAAAAGACAGCCCCCGGACCAGATGGTGTTCACGGGAAGGTCTGGGTCCATGTCCTCAATAACGGGCTGGAAGAGAGGTTTCGGGAGTTGCTAACCCATATTTTAAAGAACGGCCACTTTCCGAGTAGCTGGAAGACGGGAAAACTTGTATTATTAAAGAAAGAGGGTAAATCACCTGAGTCCCCGTCGGCCTATAGGCCAATTGTTTTATTAAATGAAGCAGGCAAGTTATTCGAGCGAGTGCTAGCATCCCGCATAGTAAAACACCTTACAACGGACGGGCCGGATTTGGCCGATACCCAATTCGGTTTCCGGCGCGCCCGGTCTACCATCGACGCCGTTGCAAGGCTAAGAGACGTTTGCGAGGAGACACTCGCGCAAGGAGGGGTGGTGCTGGCGGTGTCACTAGACATAGCAAACGCTTTTAACACGATTCCCTGGAATACCATTATAGACGGCTTAATCTTCCATGACGTGCCAGTATACCTCCGGCGCATGATAAGATCATACCTTTCGGCCCGTACCGTCATCTACCCGGGTCGGGGAGGTTGGAAGGAACACAGGGTTGAGTGTGGTGTTCCACAAGGGTCTGTTCTAGGCCCACTCCTATGGAATATCGGATATAACTGCGTCCTTCGTGGCTCACATCTGCAAGGCGTCAGCCTAATATGTTATGCCGACGACACACTTATCACTGCAAAAGGTCGTACATACAGAGAAGCTTGCATCCTCGCAACGGCGGGGGTGGCACAGGTTGTGGCGCAAATAAGGCGCATTGGCCTCCAAGTCGCCCTCGAGAAATCTGGGGTGGTCTGTTTCCACGGTCCAAGACGAGCTCCTCCTGACGGTACACAATTGGTCGTATGTGGTGTGCCCATAAGAGTAAGCCCCACTTTAAAGTATCTCGGGCTTGTCCTCGATTCTCGATGGACTTTTAAGGATCACTTCTCGGCACTTGCCCCGAAGCTCGCTACCACGGCTATGGCACTCTGCCGGTTAATGCCAAATCTTGGTGGGCCGACTGCGGGGTGTCGCCGGTTATTTGCAGGTGTGGTCCGGGCGAAGGTCCTCTACGGATGCCCCATTTGGGCCGATTGTCTATTCGCTCAAAACAGGGCGATTCTAAGACAGTCGCAACGGGCGATGGCCATAAGGGTGGCAAGGGCGTACCGCACCGTCTCTTGCGAGGCAGCGTGTGTTATTGCAGGAACTGCCCCTGGCACCTCGAAGCGGCTGCCCTAGCCAAGATCTATTGGCATAGGGCAGATAGTAGAAGTAGGGGTTTCGACCCCCTTCCTGAGCACATAAACAGCTGGAGACGGGAAGCCCAAGTGACCGTCCTTCAGAAATGGATGGATGAGTTACAAGATCACAGGGCAGGAGTCTGGACAATTACATCTATACGTCCAGTGCTCAACTTGTGGGTAAATAGAAGATGGGGGCACTCTCGTACCGACTCGTTCAGGTCCTCACAGGCCATGGATGTTTCGGTGGATACCTTCACAGGGTTGCCAGGAGGGAGGCATCCCCCATTTGTCACGAGTGTGGTTTCGCAGACGACACAGCGCAACACACTTTAGAGGTTTGTCCGGCGTGGAGCTCTGAACGTAGCCTATTAACCGCCACCTTCGGATTGGACCTGTCGCTTCCAGTCATAGTTAAAGCTATGATGGAGGCTGACAGTGACGGCCCATGGAACACTTTCAAAGCGTTCTGTGAAGCCGTCATTACACTTAAAGAGAATGCGGAGAGGGTTCGGGAGTGTAACCCAGACGCCGACCCTCAACGCAAAAAAAGGCCTGGAAGGAGACGTCGCGATTACGCACGTACTCCACTGGGACCTTAGGACAGGATTGGGCAACGCAGAATATGTGCTCACACAGCAGACGCTCATGACGGAGGCACGGATTAAGGGAAACTGTTACCGCGCCTACCGTCCATAGCGAACAGATGGGGCTGTTGGGTTTTAGTGGGTAGGTGTCCATTGCACCATACGGACTGACTCCCACACTCCCTGCGCCACTTTTAAATCGTTGCCCCGGCGCGGGGGTCAGTAAATTGATTTCCCAACAATAAAAAAAAAAAAAAAAAAAAAAAAAAGTATTGCCATTATGTTTTTGCAATTTTCTATCAAGACAAATGAGGTTTTTTTAAAAACGTTAATTTAAAAACGTCGCTTTAAAATAGAGATAAGTTATTGAGAATTAAGTATTATCGCCATACCTTACTTCAGTCAATGGAGTTTTTAAAATGTCTATTTAGACATTTTATATTTTAACATTTTGTAGATTGTGTTCAAGGTACATATTCAAGAGAGATCAACGAAATTTGCATCTGATGAAAACTACATCTTGCAAACTTTTTAAATTTTATTAGTACAAACTTTAATTAGAATTTAAAATAATATGTTCATTTTGATAAGCAAAAAGAGTAAAATATATATCTTAATATATATAAATTACGTGTCACGTTGTTTGTCCGCTATGGACTCCTAAACTACCGAACCGATATCAATCAAATTTGCACACCGTGTGCGTTTTCCAATTACAGAGCATTTTTCGACTCAGTGCCGCACAATGCCGCATAATGCTGAAGCTTAATTGGAACGTGAATTAGTTTTCAAATGCATCAGCAGAGTGCGCTAAGTCAGTGTTGACAAAAAAATGGTCTGAACAGAGTTAGCAACCTCATTAATGTATAAATAATGTGGTAAACAATAATAATTGGTTGAAAACTTTTTACGCTTAATTTAATAATCAAATTATTTCATTAAATTTTTTTTACTGAAATAAGAGAAAACCTTTAAAGAATATAAGGTTTTAACAAGCTAAATTAACAGTAAAATATTTAGTTTCATGTAAGAAGTTTACATCATTTACGTTTTGAGTAATATTTTTTAATGATTTCTAAAAAAATATATACTTTTTCAAAACCATTGCAATTTTTTCTAAAGTATAATCCTGTAAAGTAAATTTGTTTACAGATCCGAATTTTAAAATAAAATTGTATTCATATTTTAAATGTGGAATATAAAAAAAGTAACTAGGTATTTATACCTTCATCCATACTAATATTTATTTTTTTAGCAGTTTGAAATAACTTTAATTATTTTCAAAATCTACGACGAAACGAAAGCCTTACAAATTTTTCAACAATAAATAATATTTACTAACGAAAATTTAGATAAATGCCAACTTAAAGAAAAATACTGGTCAATTTTCTGTCACTGTGTTGGTATTGTTTGCGAGAGCATTCGTTTTGAGAGTGCTCAATTGTGCGAAGCGTTGCTATAGTTGGAATACTCAACGTTGAGCATTATGCCGCAAAATGCGCTCTAGTGCTGTAATTGGAAAACGCACCGTGTGTAGTTAAATCCAACTTAAAAGATAGGATTGCTTACATCTCAATTTATACCCGCGATATTATTTTATTGCAAAATATTTGTTTATTATTTGATAGTCACAATTCTAACAGATGGCGCTGTGTTGAAAGTACCAACGTTTCAAATAAGCTACAATTTAATGGCATAACCACCAAGAAAGCATGGTGGTCCCCATGACTGGTGTTCTCCTACCGCTTCCCTTGAATAGTTTACTACTATGTAATATAACAAAAACCTTAGCCACAGCAACGCTTGGCAGGTCTGCTAGTTTACTATAAAATGTTATCAATTCGTTTTAAGTTAGTAGAATTATTACACATCTTTATAAATAAAATACCATTACACTTATTACGTGAATTTATTAGAAATTTTATCATTAAATAGGGATTTTCACTCCCTAACGTTGGGAGCTTCATTAGATGAGGCTGGACACGGTGGATTGTTCTCTTGGTGCTGTTGTTGGCGTATCTTTTTGAACATTTGACGATTGCGATAAAGTTTTGCTTCGTCGGTACACTTGGTTGTGATGCAACCCCTAAAATAAAAATAAAAAATAAAATTAATTATTTAATTTTGATTAAGAACACATAACTTTTAAAGTTTTTATGAACATTTGGCTAAAAGGTGACGAGCCTTTTTTCGATGGCCGATGTTACCACTATACTATAATGCCTTTAAATGTACTCAGGTTAAGAAAAAAAAACGTAACAATAAAACGTCGTAAATATTAAAAAATGCAAAATCATTTGATAATTATTGCCAGCAAAAACATATCAATTTAAAATTAAATTATCAAAAATATCGATTATATTAATATAACAAATACCTAATAACGCCCTTTGGAACACCGCATCTTTCAGAAACCGTGTTGACGATGTCATCTACCACAGCTGGGTCTAAACATTTCTTCGCTGGTTTATCGGCAAATGCAGGTGACTGTTTGCCAGTCAACGAGTGGGTTGCTAGTACTCTGTAATGAACATCAATGAATTAAAACTGTCCACAACATGTTCAGTCAATAAAATACGTAAACATCTTATAAAAAAATAACTTATCCAGCCTTTCAAAAAACAATTTAAATTTTTAATTGATTTTAAAATTAGAACGCACCTAACGAATTGGATATTATAAAAATTGATTGGACTATGAATAAAGTTACATTATTTTGCCCTCATGCTACATAGCCACAGGGAACAGCTAATATAATAAGTAAATCTTCAAAATTAGCATCGGAAACCTCACCTTCTTGGAAATACAGCTTGCAATAATTGCCGCGTTGCGGATGAGTACGAAGTCCAATCTATTTCATCCAAAATTCGGGCTGGTACCATTACATTGCCACTTCCGATACCCACCTGCAAATTTCCTAACATTAGAACATTATACGTAGCCATGACCATACGCGCTTTCATGACCTGATAGTGTGGCTGTCGACCTCATACCAACCTTCCTATCCTTCTAACGTTGGGTGAGATAAGCAGCATCAGGAAAATCCAACTAATTATAATTCTATATATAGCAACACAAACCAAAGTACATTGAATGCTTTATATCGAGCTGTGATTTTTTTATATCATTAACATAATTTTTTCTAAGTAATGTCCACAAAGTATTAGTTTTTCTTATACTTGCCATTTTATCAACACTATGCGATGCAGCAACCTCCACGGTTGTATTCGTTGTCTGCGCAGATGCCCTTCTAACCATTAGACCCTTGATATTGATGTCTTGATTTCCACTTGACGAACTATGGGTTTCATTTGCTTCTCTTATCTCACCATTTTCAACTTCACAGTAATCCTCAGAAAGGGCAGATTGTGCTTGAATGTTTTCTAGATTAGAAGTCAAATTCAGGAATTGTCTATGTAGAGTGTGTACTAAGGCTTCTAGTTCCGTGATTTTTTCCGGTGTTGGTAAAACTGCTTCGGTTTGGGTTGCCTGGTCAAAGGTTAGTTTAGGTTCGACGATCTTTTGAGGTATAGGTGTACTGCTTGCCATCGATCGACGGTTTAATGTCCTTTCGTAAAGTTTACGAATCAATTGATTGTTCATAAATTCCGGATGATTAGCCTGATTAATCTTTATGGATGATTGGCTGAAGTTTAATTCTGGATTCACCTTAAAAAAAATAACATCCATTTTAATTTAAAAAAAGTGCGCGCGTACAAAGTACCTACACATATCAGACGTAAAACTTCTTTGGCAAACTAATTTTTAACTCTTGTGAATAAAAATCTAAAACTTTAGATTTCCGAGACTTAGAGGAAGGGAAAAAAGAAGTCATTAAAATATTTAAAGTGTCGAAAATTAATAGCTAGATACTTACAAAGTACTTCGTAATAACAGTAAATTAAACATTTATGTACGAACCTCTGGATCTGTTTCACTATCACTGCTGTCAATTTCATTTCTTTCTTGTAATACGTGGCCACTTTGATTGAGTTGAGGCGGAAACTGAAATAATAGCTTCTTACTTATAGTCGTCATAATATCGGTTCTAATTAAAACCTAAACATAACAATCAACTATTTACAATTTGCTTTCAAGGGATCAACGACATTCCATCCGGCTGCTTGCCATCGTCTCTAGCGATGCCTGTTGGCTCCAAATTAGCTGGAGCATTGACGGAGACAAGAGAGCGGCGTATGATGTCGGTGAGCGTGGCGTGGCGAGAAAACACCTGCACTCTTATGTCAATGGAGCCATGTTACTTCAAAGCCACAGATACACTTATGAGGAGTACATATGGGCACTGAGGCTGATGGAAAAGCGAAGTGATTCAAGGTCCAAGAGGGTGGAAGGCCAGTGTTTGGCGAAGGATAAGCATTAATTCAATGACCCACTTTCCCTAGACCCCACAGCCACAAACCTTGTGGGGTCTGTTATTTATATCGGTTTTTAGTTTTATTAACTACTATTAGTATTTATTTTAAGAATTATTGTACCAATAGCAAATAATATGAGCCGGTTTGCCAGAAGAGAACTATGGCGAGGCAGGTACCCATTTGAATTGACGTTTCGAGTGATGCGACAATTCAATTTGTTCGCTAACTTATTTTTAAGGTAGGTTAGTGTATACTTCTGCTAAATCTAAGAATGAATTGGCGGATCCACTTAACTAGTGTTTTGCAAACGTAGCTTTCGAGTGTTGTTACATTTAATTCAATAAGTTTGGCAAACGGGAGCCATACTTTGAAGTAAGTCTACTCTTAAACGAGTCAAGCCTCTGAATCTTGCTTCTTGCTACTCATCTTCATGGGTCACGTGATGTGGGATTTTCTACGGATTTAATCTTCATTACAGGTTAAAGATTACATAATATTTAATCAACAACATACCATTGTCCTAGTCTTCATTTCTTTGATGGTATTCATACATAGTGATAGCACACTTTTCACTTGATTATCTTGCCGTTCTAACATTACTTTCATTTCCTTTAAATGACGCTTTGTATCTGAAAATTATATACAAAATCATATCAGACATGGAGTAAGTACACTATATACCATAATATTATGTAACGGTGACGTAATTAAGGTAGTGTATAAGCAACTGTGGTGTCAAAATAATTCCTATTTAATCTAAAAAACACTTTTTACACTTCAATAGCTCGAAACAAAATAAGGTTTATATAGCTTTATAGCAGGTTTTAATATCGACATACGTATATTATTGAACAGAACAAGAGAATAGTTGCAAAAGTCATTTAAAGTATGTATGTATCACTAAGAACAAAAATGATTCAATAAAACGGTATTCTTAGTAAGTAGTAAATTTTAGTGTCATGTTGTAAATTTTTCGGCAAAGTATTGCAAATTAGGATAAGTAATAAAAAAATATTACATGAGTAACGAAATGTAATAAATATAGGTATAATGTTAAATTAAAATGATTTGGTCATTACAATTTAAATCATATCCGAGATGCACGAAAAAAAACCTTTAGTTTATACATACAACGAAATAAGATATTGGTCAACATGAAAAACCGCCTGATTAAAACATGATTAATATTATTTTATATTTTTCTATTACAATTTGTTTAACTGTCCTATTTGCGTGATTCGAGCATTATACCTGATTAAAAATAATATGATAACATTCAAATAATACATCCGTTATATAATTTACAATTCAATTAGTATGATTTGATCTCATCATAATTCAGAATATACCTGAGATCCGCAGTACCTGGCCTCTCTTCGCGATACCGCTATGCCTGTCTCGTACAAGAACAACCTTCCCAGCATGTATTTCAGTATCGCCAATTAATGATGACCCGCTCACCACACCATAATTTGAGAAAACATTTCTTTCATCCACCCACTCCACTAAAACCCAGAATCCTTGAGACATGATTTCCAAAGCTTGCGTTAACACCAATGCTCACTTGGCAACTAGTAACATGCAAGTATTCGCAGGTAAAATTAAATACAATAGATAGGTGTGCGCCCGATTTCATACCCTCAGTACAAAAAATAGGACAAAAGATTTCAATGCATTTGAAAGAACAAAGGGTGTCTTAATAGTATCTCCGTATCTACCGTTGTAAAAACAGCTGATTTTTTCGAATAATGAATCAATCTATCAAAATGAAATATCTAGATCAAGCCCAGCTTTCCAGACTCTAATTACGATTTAAATATAGGCAGTTGAAACAATAATAAGAAATTGAAGAGAAGTTGTGGTTTTGTTACTAGATTAAAACCTGTCAAATCAAAAGGATTTGTTTGAAATTATAAGGTTATATGAATTCATATAATATATGTAGTAGGTACTTCAAAGGCCATTTTACTTTTTTGATGTTTCATATTTATTATCTTTTACTAATATTATAAAGAGAAATGATTCATATGTCTATCTCAATAAATATAGCTAGACATTATCAGCGATTAATACGTTTTTATGTATATCCATAATCCCGATTAATACGTCCATCAACTGGTCCGTATAAAATAAATAAACAGTTAGTTTTACAATAATCCTACTGAGATTTTTAACATGACTACGTTCTGCATTTTTCTGTTAGTAATAAAAAACTCTTCTTTGCGCAAGCGTTTAAAATGTAAACTAAACTAATTCTGATAGAGGTCCTCAAAAGTTAAATATTCAACATTTAGAAATGTGAATAGAGGTTTGACTTAAAACCTTTAGATTGACTACCATACTTACAGTCGTTTGTTAAATTATGTATAATGGTAGATTTACGACAAAAAGATAATTTTATCTGTAATTTGTGATATGGTATGTCAATATAATATGTATACTACGTAGGTGTCGAGCGGTGCGTGAGATGATGGTGTAGGGGTTAAGATGCCACTGTGGAACGATGTAGAATTTATTATTCTTAAATAGGGATTTTGGTGTTTGGGCTTGAAGCTATTTTTCTTATATAGATAGAAAACATACTTATGTTTTGACTTCATTAATTTCAATTTTACAAATACAAAATAATTAAGTGCGAAAATAATATTTGCACCGATCTTCCTGGATACAAAATGAATTAATTAAAGGCTGATGAAAATATTATGAATTTTAGATCGCAACTCGACAGTGGAAGTTCGACACAGGGAAGTCAAAAGAATGCAAGAAAGAAAGATGATAAATAGGTAAGTCATAACCAACAAACTTCAAATGTAAGTGAAACTCCTTTTTTTTTTCAATAAAACTATATTGTTTATTCCTATTTTTAAGCAACATCCATCAAGCAGACGGAATTAATTTACAGGTACCTCCTACCTGGAAAAGAAATGGTATCAATCTCTTCGTCGGGCGTCAATACGGGAAGAGACACCAATCGATTACCTAACGACCTGGTTAAAAGCTATTTGCAAACTGTCTGCGGTCGCAAAAGGACTTTATTAGTCTATACTTACATAGACGCACGATTTTAACTGATAGTATATCACCTTTTATTTTATTAAAATATGTATGTCTCCATGCATAAAACATGCTAATTATCTAGCATTATTTGTAAAAAGTCAAGTTATGAAGACTTAGACACCTATTGTGAATATATATCAGGAAGGTACCTATGACTACATAATATGCAGACACTGCTTTGGGTCTAATTAATATGAAATAAAATCTTATCAATGTAACAATCAAGTAGTTTCAATTTTCTATCAAGAAACATCGGACTTTGAATGCGTAGGTTTAAATAAAAGACGTAAGAGAACTTTCGACGACCAAAAAACATTTTCCGGAGATGGCTCAACTATCAAAATCAAATAGTGCGCTGCATCGCTGATACTGATACTCAATGCAAACAAACAGTTGTTTTTATTTCGTCAACGACAAATCAAATTACTACATTTAAAAAAAAATTGTTTATCAGCAAGAGAAGACAAAATTGGACAATTTTGTCCAATGATATTGATGAAATATTCGTAAAAGCTGTGTGTGCTGACTGCTGAGAGGTATTTTTTATAATTACAATCAAAACCAGTACACCGAAAATAAGATACCTCATATTCTAGTTATTTGTTAGTCATCAATTATTTACAATACAATTAGAATATTACACAACAGGAACAAATTTCCATTACTTTTAAAAAGCAAACCATTTACTTTACTTTTGAGGAAAAGATTAAGACAATGTTCAGATGACATCTAGATTTTAATTGAATCAAGGAACATCTTTCAACATCATAAAAAAAATGTTCATCATCATCATTCATGAACATCATCAAGAAACACACTCAGAACTAGTTCAAGTGAGGCACAGATGTGAGTGAATAATAATAAATGAATGAGTATCTAGGCTGTATCAGTTAAATTGACAACTGTATTCAATATTGAATTGGCCACCTTCTACGAGTATGCTGCATCTTAATGCAAGATAAAAATAAAACATTTGCCAAAGCTCAAGAACATGGAACCTAGGTACCCTACAGACTTATCTTTTTCGTAACTCTTTCATGTCTTAATGTTTAAATTTAAAAAACAAATGGTATGATGGTATTTGAAAATGCTGCCTCTTAACTTGTACAAAATATGTGTAGATAACCATAATAAAGTAATACTTTATATGGAGTTAGTTTATTACTTTCCTTGATGTCAGCTGCTTTAAATAGTAAATATGTAGGGGAAGGTCGGGACCCTTCGTACAGTTTTCACATTTTATTTTTACATGAATCAATCATCTGATAGCTTAAATTTGTAGTCTAACTATCTGAGATTCATATTAAAAAATAACAAATGATTTCATCTGATGTTTCAACCATAATTATGATTTAAACTAAATCTGGAATACGTACGAATCTACCCCATCAACGGGGCACCTTCGTACAGTGTTGGGGGTACCTTCGTACGCTGTGGGGTAGTTCCGTACGTGCGATTAAAACGACACATATAAATCGAAATTCATTTATTAGCAATGAAATTTAACACAAAAATAAAGATTTAACTTATATTAAACAAAAATAAAATACTTTTCTTATAGTGAACACTTCTTATTTTCGGGTGTGGCAGTATAAATTCGTGGTTTTCCTGGCCGTCGTCGTCATTTTGTTTGTTTTAATACTTCTTACAACATGCGGATAGGGTCGAACCGCTTCTGGTATCAAAACTGACTTCGAAGAAACTACTATTTGATGGAGTGCTAAATTATTTAAAGCATCTGGTTCACAAGCATCAAAATCAACCTTAATAAAGATAATAAAAATAGGTATTAATATATACTATTTACATCGACGATAGCAATGATAGCAACATAGGACAAAGTTAATGCAAATATTAGCAATTAGCACACTAACACAATCTTTCCTACCTACCAGAGGGTTTAGTCAAGATGCCTTAACAGTAGTGTATGTAGCAAGTCGAAAACTTAATTTGTATGAAAATGACAGTTCGTGTCGACAAAATATTGTCATGCAAATTTAGTTGTACAATTCGTTCAAATATGCCCCATCTAGTGCTGTCCGAAAGTACCCCACTAACTGAATAACAACAAAATATAACTTATTTTAATATCAATAGGAAAACGTCATAAATTAAGTATTGGAGACGTATCTTAAGTATATTTTGCTAGTTACTGATAGAATACTCTACCCGAAAACTTATTTTATCTACGGTAACAAGAGACAAAAACATTGATCAAAAAAATTACTTACCGAGCGCGAAAACACGTCCATGCCTGTAACTTCACTCTCATCGATCGGTGCGAATTTCGCGAAACTTCGTTGATGTATAGTTGGTACCGCACACATACAAAAACAAGACTGTACTTTGTTTCGTTCAAGTTTTATTTTGACTGTATGAATGTGCCCCGCGTACGAAGGGTAACGATCTTCCCCTACTCTTAATAATTTTGATATTATACTGCTTTGCATTCGTATGTCAAAAAACCATTTATTTTTTATTCTTAGACTCTTATGTCATTTAACTGGTGAACTAATGAAGTAAGGAATTATTTATGTTATTAATAAATAAGTCCTTTTTACCATCCAAAACTATGGTTATGAAAACTGAATGAAGTTGAAGATGCTACGGACATGTCCAATGGACATAATTTAAAAACAACATTCGAATAATAATAGAATTTATGTTACACTTAATGTAAGAGAATAATAATAAATATTTATTTATTTAATTTTTCAAATGTAAACTGAACTTTATTGACTTTAATGACTCCTTTTCCAGTCTTTGATTATTTAATTGTATTAAATTATTTGCATGCAATCAAAAACTATTTTTAATAATGCCATTTATGCCAAAGAAGTATAACTTCTTACGCGTGTATATAAGTATAAACACCCTTTTTTTTCTTTTCTTGTAATGTTTGGTCTGGACATACGAGGTTATCATTCTACAGCGTAGATAGAGTATAGAACTAGATGAGCTTCTAAAATAACAATAATAACTAAAGAGAGAAGGCATTAACGTGAAATACTTAAGTGCGAGCAAAACAGAGTATCAGTTTTTCTGGCTCTATTTGCGTATCGGGTTTTATTTGTTTACCACCGAGCCCTTGGTGGTAAACAAGTTTTCACCGCTTACTGATAAATCGGTGAAACCCAAGTCAAACCCATATTTTAAGACTTTATCCTTATAAGAGGTGTATTTAAAGTATCAGTCGTGGTGAATTGTTGCATAATTGGCTGTAAAAGCTATAGTGAAAGTAAAGAACCAAACATCTTTCATCGGTATGTAGCTTATTTTGTCACGACTCAGTAACTTTGTTCAAGAATTATTCATTCGAATGTGTATTTTGTTCAATAATAAGTAGACATCGGATTATATGCATTTGCATGTTTGCATATGCAAATGCATATAATTCTATTTTTACAGCATTATTGCATATTTTGGTACTTTTTCATTGATAGTGCTTATTTCAATAGTTAGGTATACGTGTT